CCACTGTCTACTATCCGCTGAGCAGCAAAGATACGATTAGCAGTGGAGCATTTAGCAGCTAAAGAGTCAGATGTTTTCCCGGTGGTGACCAATATATTCCCTCTCTTTAAGCTCTGCTATTCAAAATAATAATAATGTTGCTCCAAAGCTGCTCAATGCGTAAATAATCAGCTGTTTGCTCCAGCATATCAATTCAGTATAAAGGTGATGATACTTCCACAAATGGCCAAAAAAAAAGCCTGTCACATGGACAAGAATATACTATAAATATAATGTGAAAGTTCCTCTTGTTTATTGTAAGAGGGGCCATTGTAAATGTAACCATAACAGATATAATCAGGGCCCTGAGAAACTGAAGTTGGTTTATTTACTGTCTCGCCATGTTGATTCAAGAAGATTTAGAAGACGTGCAGTGCCCAGAGTTACTGTGGAAGAACCAGGTTTCCTCCTCAGCCCTGAACATAACATGACTGTAATCACAGAGATGACTTCTGCACAGTGTCCTCCACGGCCTGCAGCAGATGCTGCCCTCAGGTTTTTCTCACCACTGGCTCAGGTTGATAACAGTAAATCTCCAAACACATACAGTTGAGCTCACAGAGCAGATAAATTAAATTGAAATAAAAAGCACCTCCCCTACAGTAACTGTTTGGATGGATAACCTGAATATGTTTGGCACATCAGATGAAACATACTGTATAATAACCTCTGAGTATTTTGTTGCTGGAGGAGCAGGAGAATTCAGCTGAAACAAACTTCTGAATCCCAGCAAACACATATAAGATCATTTAGGTCTGAAAAAGATGTTTTTACACACAATATGGAATGTGTTGAAAAATGTATTAACATGATATATTGTATATAGATATGTAGATTTTTTTACACCATATAGTTCCTCTTAAAGTCAAATAAATCTGATATATAAGGCTTTATTTTGCAGTTGAGCTAGTTAACCTGCTGTTACTGCTACTACTACTTTAGAAAACACTCAGCATCATAGCCATCCAATGGTAGACAGGATCAATTCCACGGAGTAATGAATCTGATACATGCATCTCTACCAGAGTCTACCATTAGAAACATCATTTGAACATGACTTTTTCTTGCTGAAAAAGGAAAACATTTTAAAAACAGAAAGCCTGATTTAGGTTTCCATTTCCTTACAGGACTCTCAATGTGGGTATGAAAAGAGACTTTGTCATCAACCAGAGCCAGGAGGAGAATAAAGGTCTTTGAACCAGTGAAGCATTAAGTGAAAAGCCTCTAAGGAATAATGAGATCTAGGATTGAATCAATAGCTCTTAGAAACCTAATGAATCATGATCAGACTCTGAAAAGTTTAAGTATGAATTAATGACAGCAGTGGATTTGTCTTGGCTCTCCTGGAAATGCCCCCTGTATGTGAAGCCCTCCCACAGTGTAGATGACTGACTGGATTACTTCCCCCCTCATGGTGATTTACAATCACAAAGCAGACCTTTTTAAACTTCTTCACAACACTGATCATTTCCTTATATAGTCATATCTGAATATAAACCATATTGCACATGAAAAAATGCAAACACAAAAGCTGGATTGAGTTTGAACAGCTGCCATCACTAGCATAGCAGAATACAGGGAGCCACGGTCATATTACTGTGAAGTCATTTATATTGGAAGCTATATGAATCATTACAATTAAAGGCTCCGCTTGAAATTATTAACAATAGAAATAAAAGGAAGTCACATTTTTAAAATATACATGCAAAGCCAGGCAGTGTGTCTGCTGCCTTTAAGAATGTCACAAAGGGCCACTTACAGTATAAATGTTTATGATAAAAAGCCAGTTTTAAGAAATACAGAGAAACCCAGTGGATGTTTAGTTAAAGGGTTCCAGTACAGGGATTAGCCATATGTGACCTCTGTTTAGCTAACAACCGTTGAGGTGTTTTAAACCAGCCCAATAAATAGTCAGTGGCTGTTTATTTATAGCAAGTGTTGTTGTTGTTGTTGTTGTTCTTGTGGAGTGTGAGAGCTGTGATGTAAAATGGAGGTACAGGCATCCATGGGATTGCTGATGGCTGACTAAGTGATAGCCCTGGAGTTTCTCCTTGTTGGACTGTGGACACAAGTGAGGAGATCCTAAAAATACCAGTTTTAAATTTCAGTGAACAAACAGCTGCGACTGCCGCACAGGGGACCAGCACACAGACGGGGCAGACATCAGAACAAACCCCTTTCAAACTGAATTTATTCCTCTAGTGGGATCATTTCAAGATTATCTATAGTCAGTTTTTTGTCCTTCACCCTGTGGAGACTTTTTTGTTTTCCTTTGGGTTTGTCCTGCTCAACGTCCACGTCTGTTACAGTCCTGTAATTCTTCAGTGGTAAAACATGGCCTCTGTAAAAGTCACAAGCAAAGTAAATATTGCACTTCCAGCTCCCCCTGTGGTGTTAATCCTGTCAGAATGCAGCTAAAAACAGCATTTTATAGCACAATCTCATGCTATGTTAGCAAAGCCCTAAGTAAGCGATGGCTGGGCCATGCTAACATTAGCAGGGTAACACATGTTTACAGTTTTTTATAATATTGTATTCGTGTCATATTGTTTGAGTTGATTGAGAAAAACAGTTCACATCAGCCTTTGATAAACAGTGATGAATCCATCTTCCTCTTGGTGAAAATAAGAAGCTGGCAGGTTGCTGGCAGAATGATAGTGAATGCACCACTGCTGGCAGTTACATCCAAATAAAATCCAACAATGACACTGTTCAGCTCATTATATAGAAACTATACACTGACTGTATCTGACCACTCTTGGTAAAAAACTTCTACAGTAACACAACAAGAACAAGTTGTGTGACTATATACTAGGTAGCGTTCAAACTGAGCACAATAAGCACGAGCAATGCATAAACACTCCCAAGTTGGAAGAAAGCAAAAAGGTAACTCTAGTGTTAGCATTAATGTTAGCATAATAAGCATTATCATGAGGCCACATTATATTGTACAGACTATAATTATGACCTACTCACATTAACCTCAGTTGTTTTAACAGATTTTAGAACAAATTTTCATGCACGCAGACTTTTCATCAGGGCACGGTGTACTTTAGAGACACTTGTAGGGTCAGTCCTGTGACCACTAGGACACCCTGCTGCCATCATACTTCTAACACCACTTATCCACTGTAGGTCTCGTGTGTCGGCCACAGCTGTCTGAGGTTTTATTCAGACTGATTTTAAACCAGAGGGACCAGTTTAGCCTCATCACAGCTTGGTGGATTCTATCTCCATTTGTTCCAGGAGTTTGACACATACAGTAGAAGTCAACAATCATAACATGAGGGTCTCTTTCACTGCCTGCATTACAGTGTAAACAACTTTTTTAAGAATACACATTTACAGACAGTTCTCGTAAAATACACTAGAACTATTTCCAGACAATACTATTGGTAGTAGAGATAAATAAATAAATAATTGTTAAAGTTTATCATTATTCATTGCTGACATTGTGAGTTTATAGTTATGATCAGACATTTTTATATGACTTCATACAATGTTTTGGTGATGGTTAAACCCTCCAAGTAGAACCTCATCAATGGTCGACTGTTCCTCGCTGCTAAGGTCACTCTGTGGAATGACTTTTGTGAAGGCACAGGGTTCAGTTTACTCGTCTGGGACTCCATATGACACCAAGCCGCCATGTGGACCTGCAAACCCCTTGATGTAACACTTGGCAACAGAAGCTACACAGCCTGTAAACAAACTGCCTCTATTTACAGACCTTATACTAACTGTTTACTCGCTGTTCAGGATCACTTAAATGTTCCTACTAATTCCAAAATGTCAACGTTCATGCTGTTTAAAGCTTTTTGTCGTCAGGTCGTCCGCCCTGCCCAAGCTCTTGATCACAAATCTCTGAAATGCCTTGAGGGAATTTGTTCAGATTTGGTATAAACGTCCAGTTGGGCTCAAGGATGAGCAGATTAGATTTTGGTGGTTAAAGGTCAGAGGTCACTGTATGCTCACATGTGGTTGGCGGAGACACACAGCCGTGAAGCATTGTAGCTGATCAGTGGTTTTTGCTGACAAAAATAGAAACTTCATATAGGTTGTTTTTTAAGCATAGCATTGATTTTTCCAAAATCTTGCCTGCCAACAGAACACAGCCATGGGTTGTAATAAGCTGCTTGTACAGGCGGCCTGCTGGGTTTTTTTAACGGGAGGACAGTGTTTTATATGAATGTACCGTTTTGACACATCACACACAGAAGTAATGAACTGTAGTCCAGTTAAAGATTCTTAAATACTGGTGCTTTGTATGTTTCAGCCCATTAAGTACAACAACACATTTTACATACCTGCCTCACAGTTTTACACTTTTACCTTCCAGGCGACTCTTGGTGCCAGTTAATATCCATACACAATGACATATCAGCTTGCAGAAGCTGAAATCTGACAGCTGAGATATATGATCCATCACTGTGTATATTTCATCACCTTCATTTTCTTTTCAGAGCCAAAGCTACAGTATCATCATATGGTAATGTGCTTTGTGGGGAATTCAAGAACAGTGAAAATCTGAGACTCCCTTGCCTGTAAGCATTGTGTTACTGTAATATGTTGCTGGAACATTAAGCCAGGGAGAGAAATGATAATAATATGGGGGGTTGTGGGAAGGATGATGCAGAGCTTGTTTTTGTTCTGCCTTGAAAATGTTGCCTAGAAATCCTGAAGCGTCTGTAAACACCAACAGGCAAAGTTTCCACAGTAAGACCCTTATTTGAACTGTCATACTACACAACAAAAACATAACTGTGACAACATGATGAAATGTTCATTGTGATGGATTACCTACACCAAGTTACATTTAGGTCTGTGCAAGGTGGTTTGAATAGTGAACTGGAACCAAACTATTAGCTCTGGAGGGGAGACAGTGATCTAAACACTTACACTATGGATAGGAAACATCTGGTTTTCCTGGATCACTGTTTCATCCATTACGCCCCTTCTCACAGGAGGTGAAAGATGAGATCCAGGAGCCGCACTATGGAGGGTCCAGATGATGGACACATCCAGCCCCCTAAAGGCTTCATCAAGCAGGATGAGGTGAACGCACCAGAGCCGATGAAGAGGAAGATGAAAGTCCAGCAGGAGGAGAAGGACGGGAGGACAGGCGTATCGGGGACAACGAGGAAACCTCAGAAACCAGCAGAGAGAAGGAAGATGCCAGATCTGTCCAGGAAGGACCTGGTTCATCTGCTGGGAATCATGGAAGGAGAGATTCAGGTGTGCATTAGACTCCTGGTGACAGGATGTTGACTAGTCTGAGTCCTATCAACCTTACATTACTTTAATGACGGATCAGGGATTTTGGACCAGGCCAGGTTATGGTTCTGGTGTTAAACACATCAACCTAAGAAATAACACAGTATTTTTAAAGTTTGATTCATTAGCAAACATGTTCAGAGCCCTATACATAACAACATGAGACGCATCCTTCATGGTCTGGCTAGTTTATGGCTGCTAATTTAAGATAATCTTAGCAAACTGTCCATACATACAGTATTTCTGTATAAACTGACATTACTCAGTCAGTTCTGCCCTTTACCATTATCCTGTAATGCTCCTTGTGTCCATAGTGACTGTTACATAGGCTCACTTTAAAGCTGCATTAATAACATTTTAGAATAACAGTGAGCTGACAGAACTGCATTGCTTTTTACACAAGCAGCACACAGAGATCAAAATGATCACTCCCATATTCACTCTATTTATCTGTGGTTTGGTCTCAATCAACTCCTGGGAGAAATATCTGGTTGTTTACTCGGCTTTCTTCTCCAGCTAGTCTCTGACTGTGTCTTTCTGCTGTTTGCTGCTGAGCGGGTTGGGGACAGAAACTTTATCAGAGCTTGTCTGATGAAAACAGCTGCTTCCTGCTGCTTGCTGCTGGAAACCAAAGTGCTAAAACTGTCAGCTAAAGGAGGCTAAAAGGCTCAGTTGTGCTGCTGGTTTGTCACTATAAGAGACATGTAGTTACATGTGATGTGATCCATCATAGAAAATAATAGTTGTTTGTGTGGAGTCTAATCTATGAGCACAACTCTTAATCAGCACCTGTGCATGATAGTAACCACTTCTACTTTAACTAAACTGCCTAAAGCTGCTCCAGAGTTGGTCATAACTGAGTTTAAAACATGGACTGGGACTCTCTGTTCTCCAATGGGAACAAGGCATTTCACTGAAAATAGCATACATACTGGGAAGTGATTTTCAAAAGGCAGAAATTTTAGAAGTTGTTTAGTAATAGCTAAAGTCACTGCCTTGATCAATAAACAGTGTTTCGCATTTTAATTGAGCAGCTTGTGTAGGTGTGTTCTCATCAGAGGCAAAGCTGGGGAATCAAGGAGATTTGTTGATTGAGGTTACTCATCCAGCAGCCTTGTTACCATGACAGCTGAAGATGAAGGAAGCTGAAAATGGTCTTTTTCAGAAACACCCAGTTCATCTGCTTATTAGAAGCTGCCTTAGGGAAAACCATAAACACCACGGCATTTGTCATCAGTGCTGAGACTTACTGATGTTTCACAGCGTGTGATGGGTTAGTTTTTGACAATAACCCTTGCTGCTGCTGGGTTCCACTCTGATAATGATTTTCTAATGGAGGCACATTTATGAACTCGTCTCCAGAGAGGCAGGATGCTGCTGCTTCGCCCTCCGTTTCCATCCTACTCTTCTGCTGAGACGTGCTGAATATTTTCCATTAGCAATGGGACAGAAAAATACCCAGCACAGAGCGACATTTCACACAGGAAGAGCTGTTTTTGTCCTGCGTTGTTTCACACGAGGGCTTTCAAATTCACTGACATGTAAAAAGAAACAGACTCTAGTTGAGAGTATCATAACAGGGTCATAATGACTGTAATCCCCAAGCTGTCAAAAGGGCAACAAGGAAAATACATGTATTTGTCAATACCATTTAAGGGAAAGGAGGATTCGCTGCAGCATGATTTTAAAGGATAAGTGGGATGATATTTTATATTTTTTATTGTCAAACAAATCAGATTTTCCCAAATATTGAGGATTTGCGGGGCTTTTTATATGGTGGTGGTATTTGTGAGATAAAGCCCTAAAAGGTTTCTTTAGTCTAAACAGTTGAAGCAGACCATCGAACCTTCACCTGTTTCAAACAAATCACGGTTTTGTCCTGTTTGACATCTCTGTGCATGAATTTGTGTCATGGCCATGTGGTGTGAAATGAGATATTATGCAGGTTAGAATGGGGGAAACAGCGCTCTCTGCTGGTGAAGCCTGGAACAAACAGAAGACATACATATGGTATCTGTGGATGTGAAGAGTTGTGAGAGGAACAGAGAGGGCAGAGTAAATCTTTTGTGTCTCCAAAGGGGCAGTTTGTCCTGCAGAGAGCACTCTGTGAAACAGGATACACAGAAAACCCAACACATTATCATTAATGAATTATTTCTCACCAGCACTGAGGACAGGACATAAGTCTTAAAACCAGGGAGCACCAGACCCAGCAGACACATGTCACATTTGATGGAATAAAGACCTCGCATATCTATTTGTGTCACCTCTCAGAAGATGAAGCCCCCTTTTTGTAGAAGCAAGTTAAACTCCTAATGTCTCCTCAGGCCAGAGAGGACATCATCGGCCTGCTGAAGTCAGAGAGGACCAGACCGGACACTCTGGAGGCTCATTATGGTTCAGCTGTCCCCATCAAACCCCTGCAGGCCCTGCAGAGAGACGGGCTGCTCACCCAGAGCGGCAGCAGTGCTGATGACGTCTATGAGAAGCCCATAGCCAAAGTGAGTAATGAATGTACAGAAGGGGGTCGGGTTAGGGACTGGACTGACTTAAAGACTGGCACAGCAACAAGTTATAGAGAAACATTTTTAAATGGATGTGGCTTGCAGATGTTGGAATTTGAGAGAACAAACTATGGGTTCTATACTTCCCACAAAAACTTTGAAGCTGCATTAACCCAGATTCTCCACAGTGTGTGATGAACCCAGTGACAGTGGGACAGGATGTGGTGTCTCTCAGCTACACCCCAGTGGCTGAACCAGCGGCTGCCAGAGTGAAGAGGTGGCATCTTTAGCACAGAGAGAGTGGGACAAAGAAAGAGCAACAACCAGGGTTAACATGGGTTTGGCTGTTTGGCATGGAGAGGGTTAAAAGCAGCCAGAGGACTCAGTCTGGATTCGATTTGAGTTTTAGTGCCACAATTCGGTTCAGAATAGGTTCTCGATTCAAAATGATTTAATTCAGTAAAAGTAATAAAAAGATGGGCCCTATACTTAGGCTCTTACTCCAGTACACTGTGTATCACTGCTTCCTCCCGCTGAGCAGCAAATGAAACCTAACATTAAAACAGACAGCTAAGCCGACTGGTTCTGCTGAGACATGTTATCAAAACAGACAGAAAAGAAGCAGAAGAGATCTTTTTAAAGTTGATTATGTGAGTTAAAAAGTGTGATTTGAACTCTAACTTAGAGTATGTGTTACATAAAAGTGTTACTTCATAAATCAAAGTGTGATTTACTGACCAACGTTGCTTCATACTCTGATTTAATGTCATTTTAGAGGCAATTATTGGACTTTTTATTGGACTGCATACTTTTTATTGCACTACATTTATTTGATCAATTTAGTTACTTTTCAGAATCAGAATCCCAATGGGGATCAGTAACGTCTCATGACTATACTGTTTTCTGTTTTATTCATCTGATTCTGAAAAGTAAGAACAGTAAAAGATACAAAAGGTATAATATTTGTCTCTGAACTGAAGTCTAAACATTGATGGTACATTTATGGCAGAGTTCATGCAAGAGAAGAAATTAGAGCCTATAATCATGTTTTTCTATGTGTTCAATGGCAGCAGATTTTACTGTAAACTATAATTTACTGTGTTCAGTGAAGTTTGCAGTAAAAAGGCTGAACAAATGTGTAGTGTGCATGAAACTACTCAAGTAAAAGTCATAATTGTGTGGACAGACTCATTGTTCACCCACAGTCACAGTATCACTATAGGCATAGCTAATACACGGTTGGCAGAAGAGGTGTCCAAGTGTAAGTTGTTGATAATAATGAGTGTTGACGTGTTTCCGTCAGCTGGACCGTCTGGAGGACAAACAGAAGGAGACGTACAGACGGATGTTAGAGCAGCTGCTGCTGGCTGAGAAATGTCACCGCCGCACTGTCATGGACCTGGACAGTGAGAAGCGGAAACATGTTGACTTCATGAACAAGAGTGACGACTTCACCAACCTGCTGGAGCAGGAGAGGGAGAGGTGAGGCCACAGTTTGTGTGTTTCCATGAGTCTTGTCCTGACTACAAACTAATACAAACAGATGGGGGTCACAGATTAAAATAAAAACCACCACCCAGCGTCCAGCAGGGCCTCATCAGGGCCGTGTCTCCAAAGTAAGGTCAGGTCTCCTCTGTCAGAGGAGGAAACCTCCTCCTTCCAAACCAGATCCCCCCACTGTGTCCGACCCACTGCGTCCGACCCACTGTGTCCGACCCACTGTGTCCGACCCACTGTCGTCCTCATGAAGCCATTCAGTGACCTAGAGCTGAAGCCATGAGTCAGTTAACTGGTAGAAAATGAACCTCAGCTATTTAGAAGCAACAGTCACCGACATGTTCTGGTTCCACCTTCTTTAATGTGAGGAGCTGATGCTTTTCTTTGTCAGACATGAGAATCAGCTGAGTCTCTGTGGGTCTGTTGGTTGGACACAACAAGACATGTGAAGACGCCACCTTTGGCTCTGGAGAGTCACAGTGGGACTTTTTCCCCAGTGTCTGACATTCTGGGGATAAACAGATCAATCAGATCATCAGGACGATGATCAGCTGATTGATCAGTGACCCTGCTGGTTGTGTCTCCACTCAGTCAGGAGGCTCCTCTCATCTGTCACCTATGTGTACTTTTTATTACTCAAAGTAACATATTTGATTTGGTGATTTATGAGTCAGTGTTGGTGTAAAAACACCTCTGCAATAAATTTATTAAGATGATAAAGTTCAGTTTTAAATTGAAGGAGTTATAGAGAGGTTATATCGTGTGGTGTCTGGTTCTCACTGATGAGCTGCACCACTGAGATATTTTAATTTGAACCTCTCCAAATCCTGCTCTCAGTTCTGTCTGACACCACATTCCTGTCGGCTGCAGTCAGCGTGCAGGTTCACTGCAGGTGATCTCATGAATGGGCTGACCCTGAACACGCAGAGGGTGACATCATTCCCAACAGAGATCCTGCTGCATGGCTAGAGCCTCTGTTTGCATAACAACAGTCATGGGCAAATACAACACATGAAAGCTTTTGGGTGTTTTTGTTCTTGGAAACCTACTGCAAAAAGTACCATCAGTACTCTGGTAATACTAAAGTGACATTTTATATGAAGAACAATCAAGTGAAATGTGTAGAAATTCTTCTTTGTGCTAAAATAAAAGATTTAGCTCAAAACAATTGGGCAGAAAATCTGTTGTCGCAGGTTTAAAACCATGTTTTTGGTGCCATAAAATACAAAGACTGTACATTTCTTTCTGATAATCAGTCTTAGCAGCATTACATCTCTTTCACCTGGAATCACCACTTGCCTCTGCTGACTGGTCAGATTCATGGGAATGGGAGAGATGTGAGGTCACTGTGACTTTGACCTTTGACTGTTAAAATCTAACCACTTCATCTGTGAGTCCAGGTGGTCATTTGTGGTATATCTGAAGAAATGTCAGAGATAGCATGTAAACAAGAGCGGATGGACGGACAGCCTGTAGACACACAGTACTGCCTCTGGCTGCTGCTGTCGCTGGCGCCAAGACATCAGAAATGTTTGCTGCTGTAAGGTAGAGCTATTTAAACAACATCAACATCTCAGATTTGTGAGGGTTTTTCCTAATGGACAGTAACTTCCACCATGAGGCCCCCGGTCCCGTCTGGTATGGGTTTATGTGGTGTGAGAAGTTAAGATTTAAACTAGTAAATCATGTCTTTCTCCAGAAAAATGTAGGTTTGTTTCTCTGTAATTTCACAGTGGTGGACAGTTCTGGCTCATGTTAAAATGTGCCTCCTCTGGGTCAGCGTGTTCTTGTTGATTCATCTGTTCTGGATGTTATTAAGGATGGTAATTACTGTGACTATAATTAGCTTCAGATCAGCAACTCCTGGCCTGATATGTTTGCTGTGGGCTCGGTGTAATGAGTGTTTGGGGCGTTCTTCTCCCTGTCTGACTGGCGTCTGTCAGCACTGAGCCTAAGAATAGACTGGAACAGAGAGCAGCTTCTGCAGAGCCACTGAGGATGGGGTGCCTGAACCCTGGGAGGAAAGAGGAGCAATCTGAGAAATATGTCCTTAAAAGCTGTACTTTGTGCAAATTTTATGTTCAAATCTGGCAAATGGAAATAAATCAACACACTAAATCCAGTTTGCGCGGTTTGGTGGTGAACTCTTGATTAGAAATGTTAATAATGAAAAAATGTGCCATATATAAGAGAGGAAAACGGGGCTATATATAGGCACAAGTATCGAGAAGATGAAGGTAAGAGAAGTGTGTCCCCCTCCTAACTGAGACCCCACAGTATCACTATAGTACAATAATTTGTCAGAGGGTGTCTGGTGGAAAAGTCCAGACAAGAGTGCACCACCCAACCGCGCAAATTGGATTTAGTGTGTTGATTTATTTCCATTTGCCTGATGGAAGTTACTGCAACAGCTAGCATGCTAAGCTAAGATAAGCTATAAATGTGGTAATTAGGTGGAGCAGTGCTGTGAGTGAAATATTAACAGCAACATGCTAGTGTGCTCACAAAGACAATGCTAACCTGCTGATGTTTAGCATGTCTGGTAGTTAGTACTAAACACAAAGTACAGTTGAGGCTGATGGAAAAATGCATTGGTTTTGCATGTGCAGCTCAATGATGCTGTTAGATGAAACATCAAGGAACTGCAAAGTCTGTAGGGCTGTTGTCCTCTGGGCAAAGTTGATGTGTGTTCAAAATATCATGGCAATCTATTTAATATTTCTGAGATATTTCAGCCTTGACCGGTGCCGGTTTGTTTTCCACAGTAACCATTCACTGAGCTGCAGTGGAGGGGGGGGGTTGTGAGGAGGAAGTGGACAAGGAGTTAATGGAGATATTTTTATTTTGCTGCTCTTGCAGACATTTTGGGAAAGAGCCTCAGTAAAAAGACTTTTATGTTGTACGGTAAAGAAGAGTTTCATTGTGTTCTCCTCAATGTCCCCATCACAATGTGATCGGCTTGATTCCTTCATTTTCCAAACTACAAGCCTTGTCACAATATCTGAGAGGCTTTTATCTGGTGAGGGTTTAAGTGTGTGCAGCAGAAGATGCAATTTCTTCTGACATCTCCAAAATTACAGACACCCAACAAAAGTACAAGTATCTAAGCCATAAAATGCAGCAATTACTGCACAAAGTGCTCGATTGTCCTGGGGATATTTATGCATTTGGAATAATGAAGAGCAGTGATGGAACATCTTTGAATCTTGAATCTCATTTTTGGCTCATTTATGAGCCTCTGTAATGCAAACCACCCCCCTCCCCCCCCCCTTCTGTCTGAAAACGTGATCTCACACACATAGTTTAGCCAACTCCGTGTACATGATACAGGGGGATTATTGTGGGAAAGGCTGTGCAAGTGTGGCATTGTCCCCCCCAGAACAAAAACTCTGGGTTGCATTGTCACCTTGTTTCTATGGAAACGCTGCTGGGCTCGAGGACAGGAGACAGCTAGGATTGGAGCAACATTTTAGGAACACCGTCAAGAACAAAAATGTTTGAACTTAGAAGTGGTTTTGTGTGCTTTGTCATACCTGGTGTGAAACACCTCCTCCTCTGTGTCCACATACGGGCAGCGCCTCTGTGCACCATATATGGAGGGGTGGATGACATCACCAGCCAGCAGAGCGGTGGCGTTTAGCACAACATCCACCTCGTTCATTGTCCACTGATGACATGTTTGGATTATGGTGGCTAATCTCCGCAGTCGGGCCCCCTCCTTCCTTCCCACTCTGACCCTGTGAGACTCAGAGGCAGCAGCAGTTTGGCTCCTGTACAGCCTCAAAAAACACACTCAGACATGGATCAACCTGCCCTGCATCTCAGCTTGTTGGTAAGTTGAGCTGAGTTTTGGGAAAAGACGTTTCTGACGCAGGAGAAATAGACTGAAGATTTTTGTGTAGGAGTTGGGGAGTTGGTTCTTAATATGGACTTTCAGATCTCTCGTTGTGCAGTGTTGAGACCTATTTGTGTATTCGAGTGTGTGATGTCACTGTGCATGCTCCATTTGATGGGAAACAGATTCTGTCTCAGACTCACGCAGAGAAGAGTTAAACATCTACCAACAGGACACTAACTCAGGCAGGTTCTCGGAGGTTTGTTAGTAGCTCTGCAGCGCCTCTTGTTATCATTTTGTCCCAGCTGTTTGGTGTGTTGATGTGTGTAAGGATTCTCAGTCATCCAGGTGCCGTAATAAGATATTCAGAAGTTGCACAGTAGGTCAGGGCAACTCAGTTTGTTATTTTTCTTGTTTGTTTTCTGAAGGTGTGCTCAGACAGGACATGAGGCAGATTTGAGAGGCAGCACTGTTGCACATTACACAGAGAAAGCAAGTGATTACATAGAAATTCACCCAAAGTGATGTAAACTGAATTGAGAGTTCAGGATTGGGGTCAGCTGCACTGAAACCATCCTTTGTTAAAAATTTGTTAAAAATCCTCTGTTTAATATTTACACAACTATTCACATCTCATATTTGTCCATTTCTTAGACTCAAAAGGCTGTTGGAGCAGGAAAAGGCCTACCAGGCTCGTAAGGACAAGGACCACAGCAGGAGACTGGAGAAGGTCAGAGCAGAACTGGTGAAGCTCAAGTCTTTTGCCCTAATGTTGGTGGACGAGCGGCAGCTGCACATTGAGCAGATTGACCAGCTGAGCCCGAAGGTTCAGGACCTCACTCAGAAGCTGCAGGAAAAAGAGCATCGATTGGTGGCTGTCACCGACGCTGCCAAGGAGGACGGCCAGAAGGTCCTCAAGTTGGAGGCCGAGCTGGAGCACAGAGCAGTCAAGTTTGCACAGGAGCATGAGGAGATGGCCAACAAGCTGGCTAAACAAGAGTCTGAAAGCCGGCAGCTCAGGCTGAAGCTGGCAGGACTGGCAAACAAGATTGAGGAGCTGGAGGAGAGCAATAAAGTGCTGCAGAAATCAGAGGAGGACCTGCAGGAGCTCAGGGAGAAGATCAGCAAAGGAGAGTGCGGGAACTCGTCTCTCATGGCCGAGCTTGAGAAACTGCGGAAGAAAGTGCTGGAGATGGAGGGAAAGGATGAGGAAATAACCAAAACAGAAACTCAGTGTCGGGAGCTGAGGAAGAAGCTGCTGGATGAGGAGAACCATGGCAAGGAGCTCAGGTTGCAGGTGGAAAAACTGCAGAAGAGGATGGCTGAACTGGAAAAGCTGGAGGGGGTTTTCAGCAAGAGCAAAACAGAGTGCTCTCAGCTTCATACCAACCTGGAAAAGGAGAGACATGTCGTGAAAGATCTGGCTTGTGAGCTGGAGACACTGAAAACCCGGCTGAAGGAACTAGAGTCATCAGAGTCAAAATCTGAAAGGGCAGAAATGATTCTCAAAGACGACCTCATGAAGTTGAAGTCCTTTACAGTCATGCTGGTAGATGAAAGAAAAAACACGGCAGAGAGACTTAAACAGGAAGAGCAAAAGAGTGATGATTTAAGTAAGATGTTCAAAGCAGAGCAAGGGAAGGTTACAGAGGTTACAGAGAAGCTGATTGAGGAGAGCAAAAAACTTCTCAAATTCAAGTCAGAGATGGAGTTTAAAGTGGCAACTCTCACTAAAGAGAAAGAGGAGCTAAGAACTAAACTTGCAAGTGAAGAGGAAAAGTGTAGGAAACTCAATAACAAGGTAAGTGGGATGAAAATCAGAATGGACGGACTAGAGGAGACAGAGAGAGAGATGCAGAGAAAGTGGGCCAACGAGGACAGTAACAGAAATCCAGATGAAGACAATAAAATAAAAGAGCTTACGCTAGAAATTGAAAGACTTAAGAGCAGGCTCAAACAACTGGAGGTGGTGGAGGGAGATTTAATGAAAACAGAGGATGAGTATGACCTGCTGGAGAAGAAATTTAGGACAGAGCAGGACAAAGCAAATGCCCTTTCTAAGCTCCTGGAAGAGATGAAAAGTCAGATCGCCAGAAACAAAGCAATAGAGAGAGGTGAGGTCACAAACCCCGAGACCGAGTTACGAATCCGCTGCAGGATGGAGGAGGCTAAAACCAGAGAGCTGCAGGCTGATGTCCAAGCCCTGAAGGAGAAAATCCATGAACTGATGAACAAGGAGGACCAGCTCTCCCAGCTGCAGGTGGATTATTCTGTCCTCCAGCAGAGATTCATGGAGGAGGAAGAGAAGAAGAACAGCATGAGTCAAGAAGTGGACAATCTTACTAAGGAACTGGAAGCCACCAAGTGCTACAGTCGGGCTTTGAGGCCTAGTATGAATGGTAGAAGGATGGTCGACGTCCCGGTTACCTCCACAGCAGTGCAAACAGATGTGATAGTCAGCGAACCTGGTGAGGACGAGACGGCAGCAGGCTTCATCCGACAATCAGTTCTTGAAGAACACCACTTAATGAGCAATCTAAGACAACAGGGTCTTAAGAAGGCAGCGGTTCTTGAACGATACCCTCCAGCATCCACAGACCTTGGGGTGAGAAAATCCTGGATACCCTGGATGAAAAAGAAAGAGGCCATCACACTCATGCAAACCCCTCCTGACAAGACCTATGGGGCTTCCTTGCACCATCCACCTGAAATGACCATGTCCCAGAAGCCATGTCAGCCACTACACATCCGAGTGACCCCGGATCATGAGAACAGCACCGCCACCTTGGAGATCACCAGCCCTCAAGCTGAGGATTTCTTCTCCAGCACCACCATCATCCCCACTCTTGGTTTCCAGAAACCACGAATCACAATAGTCCCTAAGCCCACAACTGTGATGTCAAAGAGCAAAGCCTGTGACATGAGGGGAGGACTTGATCGAGCCAAGTCTCCAGTCACAATAACCACTATCTCCAGGGCCAAGAGTGTGGAGAAGGCCAATGGCAACGGCTCTGGTAGCCGTCAGTCTCCCGTGTCCATCATCACAGTCAGCACGACTCCTGTGGCTGAAGCATGTGCTTCATCTGAGCCTCATGAAATGACTGCGAGTCGCACTGTGATCAAGGTGACCCCAGAGATGCAGCCTGGGTCCGCACCTGTCCGGAAATACAACAGTAATAGCAACATCATCACAACAGAGGACAACAAGATCCATATCCACCTGGGTCCACAGTATAAAAGGCCTGCTGAGAGATGCAGCAGCCCAGTGGTGACGCTCCGAGCTCATGCTTTGAGCTCAGAAAGCAGAGAAGCATTGACAGGAACAGTACTCCGCTCCCCACGCCAGCCCTCAGTGGGGAAGACCACTCCAAGCAAAATGACAAGCAGCATAACAATCACGCCCATCACCTCTGCAGCCTCCAAGCCCACACAGTCTCTGGTGAGAGCTTTGAGATCACTGCATCCTGTGCCCTCTATCTGTTGTTCTGTTTGAATGTTCTGACTCCACAAGCATAGACTCAACTCATAGAGATGACATTTCCCTTTTGTCTAAAAGCAAAAATATCTGAGTGCTGTCTAATGTTTTACATTGCAGTTACTTCTGAAATGTTTCAAAATGAAATCAGGTGGTGCGCGCTCCCTAGATAGCACTCTCTCCAGGTACACACATGATCTCGCTGATATGAACTAACACTTTAATGATCTGGCATGACTTAGATCCCACCCTAGAGAGACCTTTCTACAGGCCTCGTGTTTACCGCCATCACCAACTGACAAATTTCCTCCTCTTAACCAAAGAGTGACCAGTTTGGATGTTTCACTTTGCACAAATTTAATGATAAGCAACACTGTTAAAACTCCTTTCATGTGAGAAAACCTAATGCCAGTTAATATGTAAAAGTGTCATCCCTAGTTAACCCCAACACGCTGGTGAAAATGGCCCCAGTAAGCGTTTTGTGTGATTTTATATTTTCAGATTTAGCTTATTGGTCCTCCATTGTTGTCCATAAACTATTAAACACACCCACACTGCTGTACCAGGTGACAGGTTTTCTATGTTAGGAGAAAATGTGATGCTTGTTCATTTTCAGCAAACAGCTCCTTAAAATGTGAGGCACAAGAAGCTGGCAGAGTAGTGTAAACAGAGCAGAGATCAGCGACTCTTTCTTTCTTCTTAAAGATTTGAGAATAGTCAGTACTGAACTTGCATATTGTGGACCATTTCCAGCAACCCTGTTGGGGGGGGGCCTGACACCCAGGTAAAGAACCAGAGTAACAAAAGTAACAAAAAGCACAAGCTACTCTGTCTGGCGAAGGCCCCGTCCATCAGCTTCAGTGCCATTAAAGTCAAAAGTAGATTTCCTACCATCAGGTGAACTTGTTCATCCCATAATGAATTCTTTGAGCGGCTTGGAGTTCGGTGACATGGTGATACAGCAGGGCTACACAAATCCATGCTTACTGGGGAGTTCACCTTTTGTAGCGTGTGTTTCCTGCTTTAAAAAGGAGTGATATAAAGTTAACAACAATCTGGAGAGAAATTAGTCTCAGTTGTAGTGATGTGTGTGTTATGTGACCTACAAGTAAAACCGAGATTTAAACATGCGTGTGAAGATTTGTGAGGACTTTTTCAGGCAGAGCGAAAAAGCTGGGTGTCCAGAATCACGTGTTTAACAATCTGTAAATAAAAACACAAATAGTTGATGTAGTTGCCATGTATTTATTCTAACAGGCCATTTGTTTGTTTGACAATGTGTTTGTGAACACCATAAATTAGTCACAAATCCTTTATTTATAGATCATGTAACACACATTTGTCACCATTACTGACAGATTTTTCCTTTGGCTTTCTGTGTTTCTGTGATCCAAATCCTCTCCTCTGTCTTGTGTTTATTTTCCCAGCCCGGCTCGGATGTGCTGTCAGCTCGGAGCGCGGCCACGCGGATCCCTGTGTCAAAAGGTATGAAACCGAGCAGCAAGGCGGTTCTGGGCCTGTTGGCAGTGACCAGGCTTGAGCCGCGGGCCGAGAGCCAGTCGATGAAAATCGAGCTGAGGAAGTCAACAATGTGTAGCTCGGCCTCTGCAGCAGGAGGCAAGAGCTGAGGGCCAAACACACTGCGATGGCAAAGACTCATTGTGGACGTGACACGATTGAGTTTGTCATCGAATGTGCTGCCAGACGTGCAGAGCGCACACATAACTGGGACTGTGCGCATGGCGCTGCCTTTTACAGCAGCTCAGCTTTCCAAACACTATTTTATTTAATTCAGAGTTTGCAACCTCACACGTGACCAGGAAAGATTTCACGTAATTTATAGTGCAGGTTGTTGAGGTGTTGTGTTTATGCACCTGTGTTTGCACGTGGAACTCTGCTGACTTTGATCAATTCCATCCTGGTGATATTTAATCTTATCATTCACATTTTCCACAGCATGTGTTTATTTCACCACAGCTCACAGAGGTTTCCAGTCACTGAAGCACTGTGGATTATGAATTGTCATCATTTGTGACAGGCACCAAAATAAAACTTTTTTTTTCTGAGCCATATGTAGCTTTGCTTTGTGGCTTTAATTTTGTGTGTGTGTGTGCGTTTGAGCTTTGTGTGACTTAAAGACAACCAACCAGGAAACCTACGTAACATTAACCCATGCTGCTAAATGAAACACAACTGAACAGCCATTAAAAAAACTAATTTTCAGAGCTCACACGTCTGAGATGTTTCCATGACTTGTGTTCATACATAGAAGTATAGATCTTGTTGTATAAATAATGACAAAAATTACACAATAAATAACAAAAAAAACATGATATGTTTAAAGTAAAAAGTAGGTCAAAGGTTGTCAGTGGATTGTTCAGAACAGAGGTTTTCAAACAGCTGGGGAGACGACGCATGCACATATTTTTAGGTTCACACTTTTTGATAATATTATCTGAAAGCATCCATTGTAAAATAAACACTTTTACATATTTCTGTGGTTACAGTGTATATTACTGTATTTATTAAATGTTTTGAGCAATACAGTTCACATCACATCATGGACAAGTACAAAAATTCAAAGTGATTAAAGAAAAAAAGGGATACACACATTTAGACATTTTTGCTAATGTCTTAAAAATCAGAAACTGAAATCTCTCATTTACAAAAGTATTCACACCCTTTGCTGTGGTGCCAAAATGATGGTACCATGATTATAGCTAATGTTTCATTTGTAAATAAATAAAGAGTATAACAATAAAGTGTGCAAAAAGTGAAAGGGGTGAAAACTGAAGTTGTTTAGAAATACTGTCTCCTTACAGCTCTGCTGCTGGTTAGTATTGGTTAATTTCTGACAGCCAAAGCTCCGCCAATCAACATTTTATATACTTTGATTAAATGTAAAATACAATAATTCAATTCTTTGGCCAGTTTTCACATATTCTGAGGTGGTGCAGGGATTTTTGTCATATTTCCTGTGGTTCATTCTCAGTGTGCTCATCAACAGCACATGTTTTTAATCGAACAAACTGACAAAGCCACCGTCCACGACCAGCTCAGCAACAAGCAGACAGTTAGAGAGCATGACTAGTGAACAGACAGGAGCATTTAGCAGCTGAAAACAGAGTGAATACTAGAGGCATGAACAAAACTGTAATGGGACGACCGTGTTGCTCTGCTGGTTGTGGAAGTAGGAAACTCTTTGCTAACCTTGCAGTCATACTTAATAAGGTGATAATATGTCAGAGCTGTTGTCTGTCAGCTTGTTGTAGAGTTCTTCTGCCCCCTAGTGGCCAATAATTAATGTCAAATAATTAACAACAATATTTTTTGTTCACTTCAAGTTCTAAAATGGAGTTTAGGCAAGCCAGCTAATGTATTAACACAAAAATAAACGTGACTGTTGAGTCAAAATGAGACGAAAGTGTGACCTTTTATTTTCTGCCACAGGTTCACTGATGGACTTCACCTCAAACAGCCGCCGTTGAGCTGTGAAGTGATGAGAAGAGGTGTCTGCCAGGAGACGCTCTGCTTTCAGAAGACTCCTGGTTAAAGCTCTTGGATGAACAGTGAAATGCCATTTCACTCTAGGTTACATGCAACAGCTAACAGATACAAGCCACATGACAGGTTCACGCTACCTGTCAGTGAAATTGTGGCCTTACAGCAAAGCCATCATTTCTGTGTTTCACTTTCTCTGTGTTTTTTAAAATAAAAAATATATCATTTTTATAGATAGGTCTGCACATTACATTGCCATGGATGTGTTCAAATGTGCCTTTGAGCTTGTGTTTTGCTTAAATTTGGTCCTAAACAGTTAGTTTGACAGTGAAACTGGTTTGAAGCGGAAGCTGGTGATTTCCTTAGGTTTAATAAAAGTTGCAATATCATGTATTTGGTGGCAGGCTAATCAATTTGGTAAAGTGCTTTGCGTTGATCAAAACAGTTGCTCTCACTTGTACTACTGTTTTTTTTTCACATTAATATTAATTTTAACTCTGCATCATAAACATCCATGTGATCACAGGGTTGGTGGTTCGATTCCCGTTCTTCCCGGTCCACATGTCCAAGTGTCCTTGGGCCCGTGCAGGACCACTCTGCTGCCACTGGTGTGTGAGTGGGTGAATCTGTAAAGCGCTTTGTCCAGGTATGGTAGAAAAGCGCTACATAAGTGCAGTCCATCTATCATTTATTTAAATCACACAGAAATGATGATGCATACGTGACCTTTTCTGAATAAACAATGACCATATGTACTCTGATCTGTCCACTTGTGGTTTCACCTGATAAACTATAATAAATACAGCTAACACTTAAATTAAAGACTACTTTAGCAGCTGTCATTCATTGCTTCTTCCTGCTCACTTGAGACAGACAGTAGAATAAAGAGTTTAACCTGTGATGAATTCAAGTATTTAATGTATCCTCGTAAATCCGAGATTTATCATACATGATTCCAGTTGGATATACAAAGTTTACCCTCTAGAAAAGTAACTTTGTGGATGTTTTGTGTGTCTGTGGTGGTTTTGCTTTTTTATGGCACGATAAGGCTGTTTTGCATCCTTTTGAGGTCATATTGTGTCTCACTGTGGTTAAACTGCAGCTTTGGGATCATTTTGTGTTCCTTTCTTTGACATTTTTTCAGGGGAACCCAAGCGATCTTTTAAATATAACATTCGTTATCTTTGTTGGATCATTAGTTATATTTCCGACAGCACCTGAAGGCACCAGTGACGCCATCGCGCTGCGTTATTTAGTTTGTAAACTTCCCGAAGAAGCAGAGACGATGCTAGGTTGTAGCTAGCCGTTTGGTGATTAGAGTAATGGATTAAATCATCAAATATTTTAAGAAATATAAATGCCATTACATTAATACTGTCATTTGACAATTTACGTCACTAGTCATCTAATGTCAACGCGCCAGTGGGGAATTAATTCTGGTTTGTTTACAAGCTAAATTAGTGGCAGTGTCGGGGGCTATAAGGTAGCTAGCTAGCTAGCTAACGTTAGTAGCACTCATGATGGCTTCTAGTTACAACGCCAAAGACGAAGACGGAAATATCACCGTGTCCGGACCTGGTGGCGGGGCTTTGCGGAGCAAGAAGCCAGAAAACACCGCGTTTAAACAGCAGAGACTTCCCGCATGGCAGCCCATCCTCACCGCGGGCACAGTCCTACCTGCTTTCTTCGGCATCGGACTCTTCTTCATCCCCATCGGCATCGGCCTGTATGTAACGTCCAACAACATCAAGGAGTTGGAGGTAATGTTCTGGCATGTTAGGACCACTGGTCAAGACCAGAACGGTGGGAGTGATTGATTTCTAAATTACACATCAAGGTTATATTAACATATTCACAATGAAGCGAGCTACTCACACCAAACTCCCTTCAGACATTGACCTTTCACATCGGCAGGTTTCCCACATCTCCCGTTTATGATACAAGCATTTTGTGTAAGGCTGTGTCCATTTAAAGGTTCGGTTTAAATAAATTTCTTGTCTATACCCCATAAAAACACAACGGTGTTGTTTGTGTCAGATACATTGACTATTATGTTTTCATTTTCGCGTAGCATAGTGAACAACTGTGTTTTCTTTGGCATTTTCTTCATCATGGTTTTATATCGTCATTTTACACATATGTTAATTCACTGCGTGTCTCTCATGTACTTTTTTCTTCTACTGTGAATAATGTAAGTTTGTAAAGTACTGCATAGATTGTGCTTTAGTTCAAAAGTGTGCTTGCTGTCTGGCTCACAGATTGATTACACAGGATCTGACATGTCCAGTCCCTGCTTCAACTGCTCCCAGAGCTTTAGCTGGAACAGCACAAAGCCTTGCACCTGCACAATCCCCTTCCACCTGGACCAGCCATATGATGTAAGAACTGTGGGTTTAGAGATGTTCATCTTCAGAAAACGTCCCACACATACTCACAGGGCCGGTTTGATTGATTTGACCTTTATCTTGTCTTATTCAACAGAGTAATGTCTTCATGTATTACGGGCTGTCCAACTTTTACCAGAATCACCGTCGCTACGTTAAGTCAAGAGATGACAGCCAGCTGAATGGAGACAGCGGATCCCTCATGGTAGGGGTTACTTCAACACGACTGAGAGCACAGAGTACCACTGAACATGCAGTAGCAGGCAGTGGCGTACTTCAAATATTTGTCAGTGTGCATATAGGTCTGAATTGGGTTACAGAGGCTTTGCAGGACTTTTCAGACGTTTAAAAAAAACAACACACAATGAGAAGGAAAGTTTAGCATAGCAGGGGGTGAGTAATGCTTTGCAAATTACAGTGGAAAACCATGTGCTCAGCCTGACGGAAGGGGATTTGTTGGAAAAACCCTTCAGGGGTCTTTAATTATCCTGTTCAGAAAACTGAACTCAATCAAACTCCACAGTGCTAGAGAAAATGTGGCGGTCAGATGGTCCCATATATGGAAAAATGCCCAAGCAGCAGAGAGGCTCTTTAAATGCAAAGAAAGTATTACATGTATTAGAAGTGTTGAAGTGGAAAAAATGTGAATGTTTGGGTCAAAGGTAATCGGTCAGGTGGTCACCAGTACCACCTGTTCTGGCCCTGCCCAGTACTCGCCACATACTTTTTCTTTCTCGGCCATCCATGCTGCCATGTTGCAGTGCTGCTGACTGAGCTCACTTTGAGCAGCAGAGTAAGGATTGAGGCAGTGCTTGACTGAGGCTACGCAGTAAGCCTGTGGCTCTGACATCTGATTGGCTGCTGCCATAATCATGTGACACGGAAGACCATCTAAAATACGCCCGGGTTGGTTTTCACACATAAATTCAATGCCTAAACTCTCAGAAGTGAAAACAAATTGCACGTTTTGTATTAGCACAGTGGTATCGTGATGTTTAAAAAAGTATCGACTCCAAAATATCGACGGCGAGTATCGAAGTATTGATACCAGAGTATCAATACGCCCATCCCTATGGCCAAACCAAGTGTGGACTTTATGTGGTGCCGGCATTTTTTAAAAATGTAACTCATTGTTTTTGACAAGTCATGGATGTATATTGACTGTTGCGTCATGAAATTTAAAAAAATAACACATTGCCACAGCTGCATGAGGACATGAGATTTGTTTTTGTACATTTGTAGAGGAACATGGCAGCCGTAGCTTCAAATGCAACCAGCACATGGTGCCACTTATCTCTGGTCTCCCTCTCATCCTTATCATCCACAGAAACCCAGTAAGGAGTGTGAGCCTTATGCTTATTTTGAGAAGAAGCCCATCGCACCGTGCGGGGCCATCGCCAACAGCATGTTCAATGGTGAGCCTCCTTCCCGTTCTGCTCACCAGACACTTGCTCTTTAGTTCACTAAAGAATTGTTTCTCATCAACTGTCCTTGCTTTTCTTGCAGACACGTTGGAGCTGTTTTACAACAACCCCAACGGCACGAAGGTTAAAATCCCACTGACGTCTACAGGAATCGCCTGGTGGACAGACAAGCATGTAAAGTTCAGGAACCCCGGAGGCAGCAACCCAAACTTCACTGCGGTTTTCCAGGGTATCAGCAGCAGCTGTTGTTTACCTTTGTTTGGAGATGCTGACTGTAGTCACTGTAGTCAGACATTAGCTGGTCAGTGTTGTCCCTCACTGAGATGCTGGAGGTGAACATATGGTTTTACTCAACCAGCTTCAAGAAGTTATTGTACACGAGTTCAAAAACACATCAGACAGGAGTCATTCCAGTCGACATTTAGGATCAGTCACTGATCAGTAGCACTCCTTCACAGGTAACACTCGGATTCATCACTGTTGTTTCCTTCTATCTCAGGAACAGCGAAGCCAGTGAACTGGCGCCGGCCTGTCTACGAGCTGGACTCAGACCCGGAGAACAATGGCTTCATCAATGAGGACTTCATCGTGTGGATGAGAACTGCCGCCCTGCCGACCTTCCGCAAACTTTACCGCATCATCCAGAAGAAGGACGACCTGCTCCCAACTCTGCCCCGAGGAAGCTACACTCTGGAGGTTGTCTACAGTATCCTTCATGTGGAGTCACATCATGACTGTACACACGATACATAAAGCTGAAGTCAGGTTCATACACAGAACTGCAGAGTTTATGGAGAGAGACAGGAGGAAAGAAACAAAACAGAAAAGTAGAAAGTTGTTGTACAGGTGTCGACAAGCTGTGTCCAGTGCACAGTTGTATGATTGTGCTTCCTGAGGTCAGTTTGAGCTGTAAACACTGTTTCAGTCTTTGACTCGCCAAACCCAGATTATCCCGTTCGCAGCTTTGAGGGCCGCAAGCGAATGATCCTCAGCACCATCTCCTGGATGGGCGGCAAGAACCCGTTCCTGGGCATCGCCTACATCACCGTGGGCTCCGTCTGCTTCTTCCTGGGCGTCATCCTGCTGATCATCCACCACAAATACGGAAACCGCAGCAACAGCGCTGACATCTCCAGCTGAGAACTGCAGCCTAGCTCGCCTCTGCTGCGGCACTCTGTGACACATCGGTGCTCGTAAACTCTCATGAAGTGAACTTACCAGTTTTAGTATCCACATTAACTTCAATTAAATGTCAGTTGTTTTTTTTAAATCTCTTAACAGTGCCTAATTTTTTTATTGTTTTTGGGCCAAAGTGAATGGAAAAAATAGCCAAACAAGAGCAACCACATGTTGAGGCCTAACAGTTTTGACAGATATTCAGTCATGGCCACACGTAGCGTGATGTGATGTCTCTCAGCTTTACAGTCTAGGATGTACTAGGATGTACAGTCCAGGATGGAGATTAAATAAAACTTCCAGATGTGGAGAAGTCGTTTGTGCTCGAGCAGAGTCTGAGTTTCACTGTGAAACGGGAGTCTCCTCGTCGTTGTTTCTGGAAAGTTGCAAGTTTTAACAGCATATTACAGTTGCACAAAAATTAGGACCCCTAAACCGGAAAAGCCGAAAGTGACTTTCTATTTTCCAAAGACAAGATCAGAATTTTTTAGGCCTGTCTTACAGGAGCAGTTTGACATTTTGCAGAGAGCTGGAAGAGAAGATCACTCTCATGTCTGTACATTAAACATGAAGCTGCAACTGAAATATATCCAGTTCTTTAATGGACTTTAAAGGTCCTGGTACAGTAGGTAGGTGTTACCACAGCTGGCTGTTTTCAGCTTTGCTTTTAAAGAAAGTATAATTCACCAAATACAGTGGGTACGGAAAGTATTCAGACCCCCTTAAATTTTTCACTCTTTGTTATATTGCAGCCATATGCTAAAATCATTTAAGTTCATTTTTTTCCTCATTAATGTACACACAGCACCCCATATTGACAGAACAACACAGAATTGTTGACATTTTTGCAGATTTATTAAAAAAGAAAAACTGAAATATCACATGGTCATAAGTATTCAGACCCTTTGCTCAGTATTTAGTAGAAGCACTCTTGGTGTAAAGTATCGAGGCTGACAGCACAGTGTTACTGTAAGTCCCGAGTTGCATTCTGGGTAACAGATGTTGATGTGATCACAGCTGCTTGAGCAGCTCATTGTCATGCCTCTTTTTGTCTGTGACAAAGCTAAAATCCAGCTTTCACTGAGTTGCAGCACTTTTTAAAATGTGCTGAGCGAGTTTCACGTCAGAGGGATCACACACTGTTTAGAGCTGTACACATAACATGTTTAATTTTATTTGTATTTGAAAAACTTTAGGCTTATTTGTTTTAAAGCCAGTATTTGCACACCAGAGCTCAGACGTCTGAAGCAGTCACTGTCTGTGTAAATCTAATGCAAAAGTGTTTATGCACTGTTGCCTCGTCAATTGTTGTCATGTATACGCGGTACAAGTAGCTTATCATACAGTATGACGGTCGCTTTGTGTAAATTTAATGCAAAAGTGTTGATGCACTGTTGCCTCGTCATTTGTTGTCATGTATACGCAGTACAAGTAGCTTATCATACAGTATGACAGACCAGTAGGTGATGAAATGTTCGTCCGTCAGTATTTACGGAGTGTGAATGTAATGCACAAGTAGTTTTACACCCACATTCTGTGATTTTCAGAGGATTATGAGCTGAGATTATACATGAAGTTTGTCAGACAGATGCTGCACAATAGTGTGCTGAGCAAAAAATGTATTACTTCATTAACATAAATTGGTACCTTCAACTCTGAGAGGCACTCGGTTTGTTTTGATACTTCATCTGTGTTGCAGTTTTGTTTACAAAGAATAAATTTATCATTTGCTGTAAAAATAATGTTTATCTGTGACTTGTTTGATTGTTCCTTGCTTTGCTTTGAAGCAACAAAATAAAAAATGGTCAGTTTTATAGATCTTGTTTCTCTTGTATTTATTTTGTCCTCTGAATGTCATAAGGCACATTTATCAGCTCCAGTATAGTTGATGTATGATGGATCTAAGCAAGCTATTTATGAAAACAGAAGAGCACAAGATGCAAAGCAATAATTTATACTTAAGTGAAGTGCATAAAATAAGCTAAATAGAGGGCAGCAGAGCGCACAGCAGTCAGAAGTTAATGTCGACGAAGAAGAGAAAGCTCTTAACGGAAGTAGAATTTTCCGGTGTCCTTGTGGAAGAGGAAGGACTGTAGACGCGCTGTAAAGATGTACCGACATATACATGTAAGTCTGTTTTCGTTTAGTATGAATTCGAACCTGCCTCGTACCTTTGTTACTCGTCTTATTTGTCATATCTGTTTTTGTACATCACTCACGGGAATGAGAACCGCGGCTACATTTGTCTTCCACCTGCTAGCTAGGGGTCAAAGCTATGTGGAAGAGTTAGCATTAGCTTAGCTTCCGCATTAGTTTCACTTGTGTTTTCTCAATGCTAACCGGTTATATTGGATCATTTTAAAGACATTTGCTATAGATTTATTTGAAGCGGAGTCAACATGCTCTCCGCGTTCTTCTGCCTGTAATGACTTTGCTGGTTTCTGGATGTTTCCAGGCGCTCCAGCAGGTGGCGCGGCGGACCATCTCCAGTTCTGTCCGCCGTCAGTTGGACAACAAAGTCCAGAATAAGCAGAAGCTATTTCAGGTAAACCTACACTGAACTGTTTCAATATACATTTATAGAGTTCTACGAGATGACTTTTAAGAAATGTGTTATCTCCTCTCAGTATGGCCTAAGACAAGTCACATGTATATCACATATGACCCTCAAATGTGTCGTTGAAGTCTAATGGTAAACGCCTTTGTTATCATTAACATGCTTAAAACGAGTTTCTAGGCAGTCATAATAATTACTGTACATATCACAACTAGTGCAGTATCCGTAGACAGTACCAAGGCAAGGTCGTTGCAGACACGTCTGCAGCACTCGACCAGTTTGACATAATCTAAAGTGTGATTAATTCGGTTAATTGAAAAGTCTGTTGAAAGAAAATGAACCTGAAGCTTTTTGCTAATTTGTTAACGATTTCAGCCATTTTCAAGAAGAAATCTCAAACATTTCCTGGTTCGAGCTTCTCAAATGAATGGATTAGAGGATTCCTGGGATCAATGCTGAACAAGACTAGAAAAGTAGATCACAGATTCTAACGCAGCAGGATGTGGTGTCACTACTGACGTTCAGATGAACTCGTACCAGGCTGACAAAGTGTATTTTAGACTAAAAAGCTGGTTTTATGGCTGGTTTGCTCTCCTGTGAGGGTGTCGAGCTGCAGTAACCGACGCCGGCCTGCAGGGTGCAGCTGTTGCAAGTGAGACTCACACAGGCCCTCGGGGAGCGTTTTCTGTAGGTCACAGGAAAAACCAGACACAGGCTCTGAGTCATTGAAAGGACAGTTTTAAATCCCTAATGGTGGCACTGCTGCTAAGGCAAAAGAAAGCTGGATGAGACAAATCATCTCACTGTTCCGGTATTGATTCTTAAACCATCCAGTCGTCTTTGTACCTGTGATTTTTATTTTTTTTTCCCTCCCCAGTAAACTTGGTCGTCTCTGCTAAACGTCCTGTGCATACAGAGGATGTCGACTTTGTGGAACTTGAGTTACTGCAGCCTACACCAGCAGGTTCTTAGTGTGAACTTTACATCGTTTTATATTCAAGGAAACAACAACGTTGCTCACTTGTTGAATGTCGAAGAAATTTGAGTTCACAGGATAAATTCTGAGAAGCGCTTTATGCAATGTTTATCTGATGTATCTGAGTCAGCGGCCAGAATGAATGGATTCAGGGCTTTGTGAAACCGTATCCAGCCCTGTTGATGACTGAGACAAATTTCTAAAAGGTCAGTCTAGTTTTGTGAGTGCCATAGCACTGCCATGGTATCAGAGTTTTGGCTGTGAATTCCAAAGTAAAACTGGAGGAAATGGATCAGTTTATATATTGAGATCAATCTGTGGTTTGTTTGATGATTGGGCTGACACCCAGAAGGACGTCGATACTTTGTTCTTTTTTGACTTTTGTGTTTATTACTTTACTTTCCACTCTGCTCCACTGATGCGCGGTCGGAGGGCGTGACCGATGCTCTAGATTTTTCTGACTTTCAGTAAATCCACTAAGAAAAAACAATGTGTTCATCTCTGTGACCTCCTGACTGTCTGTAGTTCTCAGCTTCAAGCCAACAGCGGTCGGTGAGTCAGTGATGGTCTGGCCCTTTTTAGATCAGATTAGGTTCAACTTTGTCATGGCACATGTACAAGTACAAGGCAACGAAATACAGTTTAGTATCTAACCAGAAGTGTAACAGCACCAGCGCAGAGTGCACAGTATCTACGGTCTGTACAGTCAATTTACCAAGAGTTACATACAGTTGAGATTTACAGTAAGTTATACAAGGTAATATACAACAGACTATCGATTTTAAATTACAAATAATGGATAAAGTACATTAAGCTTATAAAACACTAGTGCAATGGAATGAAATGGTGCAGTGCATCTGGTCAAATGTTGGAGTTGTTAGTTGTTGTATCATCGTGGCCATGTCAGTGCTGCAGTACCTTTTTTGTTGCTGATGCAAGTTTCCCACCCTGTTTCTCACCTGCAGGAGGATAATGGGATACCGGTTCATTTAAAAGGAGGCGTATCTGACGCTCTGCTCTACAGAACAACCATGATGCTCACTGTTGTGGGTGAGTCTCTTCTTTGTTTGATTTAAAATATCTGTTCCTATGATTTAGTCATTTTGATTAATGAGCTAGAATCCAAAGGGTCAAAGAATAAATGTGCAGCTGAGCTCTAGAGTCGGGTTCAGAATCAGTGGGACTTTCAGTTGAGACTAAAGCTGCGTCCACATCCCAGCTGAATGATGTGTCCACAGCAGTGTGAACAGACCAGACCAGATGTCCTCAGACCAGATCTGGGCCACCTGCATATGTGCTTCTAGACCCGATTCCTCTCTGACTGTGCAAACGCCGTCAGAACGGTCAGATCCGAATCCATGTGGTCGTTTTAACGTCTCCTCCTCTGCACATACGGCCTGTCGTCATCATTTGGCGTTGGCCCCTCACAGACCAGTAACGATAAACATGGTGGGGACACACAGATCAGAGCTGAGCGTTAAGGCCTGGGATGTGGACGCAGCCATGGGAGAATGTGATATATTTTTACAGCCCAACAATCAACTGAGAATGTAACTGGTAGATGAATTTATAATAAAATGAATGTAATTGTTAGTTGCTGCTCTGGAAAACGGTGTCATTTTGTGAAAATGGTTGTTTTAATCCTCAAGTCAAACCACTTTTTCCTGTCCCTGCTAACTACTCGTGTGTTCTTTCAGGAGCGGGATATGTGGTGTACGAACTGGTGAAGGCGGCGTTCCCTCGGAACAAAACCTAGCTCAACTGCATCGGCTGTTTACTTCCATTTTAAAACTGGCCACCTCTTTCTGTATAAAAGCTGATGATACTCTGCCTGTGTTGGGCCGTGTGTTTCCTGTTATGATGGGATGTTTCATGTTCATGGGATCAATATTTATTTGAGTCGTTCTGATGACCAAAAGGATCAATAAAAAAATAATGCTTCTCATGACCAGTGTTTTTCTGTTACACTGACTAATGAAAATACAGTGTTTAGAAGGAGTGGGTATAAAATATGTTTGAGCAGAAATGGTTATTAATATGAGTTTAAAGTTAAATTCTGCATGTCAAAGATCCAGAGGCAGTGAACTGTGGAAACAATGACAGACGGCTCAGAGACCGATGCCAGTGCAGTTTGTTTACAGCTAATTTAAATAAATCAGTAGCAGCTTTGAGTGGTGTGTTCTTAAATGTTAGAGAAAGAAATGGACCGTAAAAATAAATGTTCTGCGTGTAAACAAGTTTTTCATGGTGTTTGTGTAAAAGCATGAAGTTTTCTGTGTGACTGTTCAGGTCCCCGTCACTAGAGGGCGACATTCTCATAAAATCCACTGATGTTTGTAAGGCCAGGATGAATTCTCCACAGTCTTCAAACATCACTGCTTTTTAACGACAGATGTAAATGATTATTGGTACGAACTTAGCTGATTCTGTGTAAACAATACAAAACAAAAACTCAAATGTCAAATAGCTCATGTTCATCTACTCGTGGTGTCTTGAGTAGGTTCTGCTGTGCTGTGGATGGAGACGGCCCCGGGCCTGTGCCCCTGTCAGCCCACTCCCATCGCACGTCAGTTAACACTTTGAGGTAATCAGATCAGCTGTTCCTCCACCTGCTGACACAGAGGAATCTGCTGTGGACGAGACAGGCCCCGGTACCTGCCACACAAAAGCTCATCTGATGATTTTGTCAATATTTATGTGAAGCTTAATTGATAACCAGCAGTGTATCTCGGGTATCCTGAGATTATGAAGATGAACCATTTTTGAGGACACTTTTGCAGATGTGTGATTTTTGTGGTATTGTAGCGTTTAGGATTTTGATATTTGGGGTTGGTCTACACCACTTTAACACATTGTGCTACTATTTTAGAGGCTACACTGAATTGTGGGGTTTTTGATTCACTTCAACACATTTTGAATTGTGACAACATACTGGGGAGGTTTGGGATTAGGGGAGTGTCATGTTAGGAACTGGGTTAGTGACCCTGAAACGTACTTTGGAAAATTATTTAAGTTATTGTACTCATTTTGTGGGTTCTACAACATGTGTGCAGGGTTTAGGGTAACTGACCATGCCCCTCCAATTTCAGGATTTGGGTCTATTGTAAGAACGTCAGTAGGTGTAAGGTGTGTTTTACTTTATTCCCATGTTCTGTAGAATTAACACTGTACAGACCAGGTATAGTTACGTTTTAACAGAACTTTATCTTCAGCTGATGCTTTCTTACTTGGGTTTATGAAACCCTGCTGAGGGCCACACAAGCGTCTGCTCCGTCCCTGAAAATCGGAATGGTGCATTAAAAAGGAAAAGATTGACTCGCGGTTTAGATTACTGGGCTGTGTCATATTTTCCCATTGATTCACGAAATGAAAAAGGGGGGTAGAAGCCTCCGCGTTTCCCTCCGTAAACCAGCTCCTCTCCGCTGTGTCCTTGCGGCGCAGACGCACAGAAGCCCTTCATCACCGGAAAGGAATGCAGAGAACTATGTAAAAGTTTCCGAGTGTTTGTTCGTGCGTGTGTCTCCCAGCGCTTTGAGAGGTTACACATCATTTTTCGGTCCGGCTGGATGTCGTAAGAGCTCGCGGCGGGGCAGGCAGAGCTGGGAGCAACCCCCTGTTAAGTAGCAGATAGTGTGGTGAGTCTGCCCACTTGGAAAGAGGTTCGCGGACGCGTCTGGGAACCAAAAACCCGCCGAGTTCTCTGACACCGGACCAGCTCATTGTCCCTTTTCCCAGGCTGGGGGTCTACAACAGAGATTAATCACTTGTGTTTTTATTTTTTCTAACCAAACCAAAGAGTTCCTGCAGTCTCCTCCATAGGTCAGTGAAGCATGGTTTTTATTTTTTATTTATTGCAGTTTAAAGTGATTTGTGTTCTAGGCAATACCGTGATGTATAGATAAAGTAGTTGCTTTAGAACAGTAGTAACTGTAGACTTTATTATCTCTAATATTCCAGTTACAATCACATTTTATTCGCAATCATTTTCAAAGACTTTAGGTTGTTTTTTACGCATTGTGCCGCGTAATTGCGCACGGCGTCCAGATCTGATACTCGGTTATTCTGAACTGTGGAAAGATTTTGTCTCTGCTGGAGTGGACCTACGTTATCAGCAGAGATATTAAATACTGCGCCGGACCTTTGCAGGTAAATGCACCAGAATGTAAGCTCAGGTTGTAAGCGGTAAAACGGAGTCAGCTGTAGAGTGAGAAGAGAGATTTGACTTTGTGCGCTTTAATTCAACTGGTTTTCCATTCAGTTTCTGCTTTCATTGGCTGTTAGAGGCTATAACATTGTGGATTTGGGGACATTAAAATGTGAAGCCTTTCATGCACTGGGAAGAAGCACAGAGACTGTGGAAGTGTGACTTTAAACATTCATGCCCCGACAGATACGTTTTCTCGTGGCTCTTAAGCATTAGGCAGGTGACTGAGAGCCGAGGGCCACGTTCAGGTAGTGTAATGGTCTGGTGAAGCCCTGAGGCTGCTCTGGGGCTGATCTTGAATCTTTAACCACCTCCTTCTTTCTTACAGCTTCATTCATGTGCTGCTGAGCCAGAGGAACTGAAGATGAAGAGCAGGCTGTGTTTGGCGGCGGCTGCCCTCCTGGCACTGCTGCTGTCCTCCACCCAGGCCCAGGACCAAGGTAAAGCTGCTGCTCCTCCTCCTCCTCTTCCTCCTCCTCCTCTCTGTGATCCAACACATCTGACTTTACCTCCTCTCACCTCTACTTTTTCCTCTGCAATGTGTAGCTGGATTTAGTCTGAATAAAAAAAATCACACAGCTAAAGCAAATGTGCGTGTTTGTGAATTGATTTGTTTGAAGATATTTGTCTTTTCAGCCTCGGTTTAACCTTTGATTGATGACTTTCCCCCCACTCCAGTAAATCCAGTTTCCACAAAGAATTGGCCAGATTTCCTTCTGAGAAGAAAAACAGTCTCAGCTTCAAATATCTGGCTTGAATTTTAGGACAGCCCCCCTCCCCCAAACCAGTAGCACTAAATGGTTTAAGTCATGACTGCAACTTACTCAGGGTAGTGATTTGGCCAAGACCTCATACTGCAGTAACATCTAGCCTCCAGTTAATAAATAACCCAAGAAAAACAGTTATATTGTTAGAAAAAGTTAATTATTTTGTTGTTCTCCCTAAAACAGAAAACCTATCAGCTGTCTGGTGCCTCTTTTATGACTTCAGTTTACTTCTCTCAGCCTAGAAAAACAGTGAAAGATCTGGAAAAAAAACGTATATTAAAAACAGAAATCAGGATAGCATCTATTTCTGCTTCCCATTAAGAAGGGAAATGTCAGATGGTTAGGAAGGGCATCTTCTCATCCTCAGGCAGATGTAGTTTGATCTTTTTTACACCAGGAGGGGCCCTTGCTCATAAACACCCACAGTCTTTGACTGTAGCCTGCATTTCTCCAGTTTCAAGAAAAAAAAGAGAAACCCCAGGCGACACACGGCCAAGTTTCCTCCCTACGTCTCTGCCCTTGATGGAACGGAAAGACAAAATATGAGTTTTATATTATTTCCAGAGGTTTTCAGAGAGCAGACAATCTGCTCCTCTGGATTTTCTCTCTGAATAATAAAAAGGGAGAAAGTGTGTGTTAAAACCTATTGGATCACAGGAAGAGAGTCTTCCTCGTCTCTCCTGCCAAGACAGCTTCTGACCTGCTGTAACCCCCTATAATGCCCCAGTGGGGGGGTCCTCACTGCCTTCCCAGGGGTCACGGCATCATAAAGGGGTCATACAGTATATAGTCTACCTTGAGGAATAGTTTGACAAGGCAGGGCCAGAATTAAAGGGTCAAACACCTTTAAAATAAGCAGACCAAAGAGGAAGTCCTCTCCCCTAAACAGTTACATTTAAGGTGAAAAATTACAAATAAAAGCAGTTTAGAGCAGAGCTCACAGTGAAGAAACCTTTCAAATCTGGACGTGAGTGTGGATGGTGTGTGTTCCCCTGGATTAAGAGCTGGCGTTTCGCGTAGCTTTTGGCTGCATTAAACCCATTTGGAAACAGAAGCAGCAGGCCGTGGCCTTTGAATTGATTCACCAGGTTGGTGGTTCCTCCATTTTTGATGTCCTGTAACACCTCCCGGTCAAGCTGTGGCCTTGAGTCTCGGCTTTACGACAATATTTTACAATGATATTCTTCACACCTGCACTAACAGACAAGCTGGTTGGTGGTCTAGAAAAAAAAGCTTAGATATTGTGGATCTGTAAACTCTAGCTAGATTATTCTGTTAGTTTTGTCATTTATACTCTGTTTGTAATTGGACCTACACTAAGTTACATGTTTCTGCAATATTTTAGAAGAATCTGTGCAACTGCAACAGTTCATGAATCTTCACAGGCTCTGGAGCTCAGATTACCTGCTGCACATGTCTGATGAAAATGTTTCTCCAGCATGAAAAAATGAACAGTTAGACATCCTGTCTTCACCTCTTTGTTACATGGAAAACCACTGTTTTGTGGTTTTGAAAGCATCAGACTCGCTCATAATAAGTATGGTAGTTACATTGTTTAGTTAATCTTGTCATCAAGTTACTTTAACTTAAGTTCTATTTATTTTAAACTTTTCTCTTAAATGTTTTGTAAATAAAATCTTTAATTCAAGCAAATGTAGCACAAGCCAGTAAAGCAGCAGTAAAGGTTTGTGCATTATAGTGAGCTAGACTTTTAGTCGCTGTAGATGTTGTTTCTGCGTTAGTCTGTGTTTTACTTCTCAACCCCAACCTGAAGAATATCATTTTAAAATATTTATTTTTAAATTACAATAATCCCTGGTCTCTCGTGTACATGGGAACTTTTTGTCCATTACTCCAAGTTGTTGAAAACAACTTTTCATGTACACATGCATGATCGTCCACGTCAGTCATCATAATTCACCTTTACCTTGTTTGCTGGTAACATCACACAAAAAAAACCCCAGTGGTTCTTAAATTACAATTCAGATCTTGAAAGGATTGCTGGAGTTTTAACTTGATGGTAAGTTGGTGATCTGGAGCTGAAATAGTTTAAGAACCTCTGGTGCAGATTTTGGAAATGTGAGCAGAAAAGATGTACACGTGTCTTCGCCGGCATCGTGTATTCTTTTATGAGGTTTGCAATGGAGACGATGAAAGCAATCAAATCAGCTCTTTATCCATTGTATAATCAATACTGGAGAGTTTGATCAGATCATTTCATTTTTGTTGTTTGTCAATTCAACAATGAGTTGGATTGAGGTCATGGACAGTCTGCGGGATATTAGCCAGTCCATGTTGCAGTTCGTTCACAGGGTGGGACATTTTTCTTTCTTTTTATTTATTCATGTATTTATTTTATTTTTATAAGTTGTTGGTGATTCCCAAAATAAAAAATCCTCTACCATTACATCACCAGCCAATGTACGGAAGCACAGAAAAGCATAATAATTTAAATGTTGTAAGCACCTACGTTATGAAATCTCTCCAATACTGAATACGTGCACTGCTGAGTTCAGAGCGCTGAAATCTAATCTTACTTTTAAAAACAATCTAGGTGTTAATTTATGTGTCCTCTTCTTTGAAAACCACATAAGATTCAGAGATTCCGATTGTCACACTTTCATTGTGGGTTCACACATTCAGTGTCCAATCTGTAAAAAAACTGAAATGAAGTTCCTCCAATTCAGATTCGGATCTAAAAGTCAAAATGTCTTAAGTCTTAATCTTCCCACCCTGTTTGAATGCGCTCAGCGGTAGTAAGGTAGTGTTGTGTTGTGTTGTGTTTGTTGTCTCACTGTGTTGTTGCTTGAGTTGTTGACTGTGACCGTCACCCACACATGGTCACACTGCTCAAACTGAGGTCATTTCTTCTCCAAAATGGCTTCCCTCACATCTGTAGTTTAGTTTGTCTTGTGTCGTTTGCTCCAACAGTGAACCTGTCCCACTTCACCCTGGAAGTGTTGACTGTTGGGAAAAGGCTTTTACATTCAGCATTGCAATACATTTTCATCCTGAAGCTGCAAGTTTAACTGTGTTGGTGGTTTCTCTTCACAGTTGACCCCCCATCAGATTTGAGGTTTAAGATTTTAAATGAGAGCACAGTGCAAATGATCTGGAGTAGACCACAGTCGAGGATACAGGGCTACAGAATACAAGTGACCTCAGACACAGGTAGGTGCTCAATGAACCTGCGAGTTCTAACCTGCAGAAGCCGTAACATTACAACTGTCATAAACACTCTAACTAACACATCACTCTGTCTGACAAGATAGGACACGCCCTGCAATTATCTGAAGACTTCTGCAGACATGTTTAGCTCTGAATAAAAAATAAAAAGAGAGAGAGAGAAAAACATTATGGACAAGTGTAATCATCAACTGGTCGTGTTGCTACTTGCTAACACCTCAATGAGAAATTATCAGTGTTAACAGCTGAGATGGTTTTTAAAATGACAGCCAGGAGCAGTATCAGCTGTCTTAAAACTTAACTAAAAATAACTTTAACACAAGAATCCATTAAAGCTTGAGAATCTGCTGCAAAGTCTGTGATGCTATCAGTGGTACCTTTCTGAATCTGCATACGTTTGACTGGTTTTGATTTGCAAAAGTTGGATTTGTACTGATCTCACCCAGCTAAGGCTAACTTTTAGAAAGAGAACTATCCCACTGTGTTTGACTGCTTACTTTACACAGCATCATCATCATCATCATCATACACAATAGGCATCAGGAAAATAGTACAGCCAACACATCAACACATGTATCCCTTAAAAACCCTGAGTACTGGAAGCCAAGGCATTTTAAATACTAACTCTGCACTTGATTAGATGTAAGGGTTAAAATGATGTGCTTTGATCCAGTAATGTGGAAGGTTTTCATTAAATTGAACGGTACTGTTATGTGTTTACATGTCTCCTCCAGTCCTCAGGTACATGTTCAGAAATGTTTTTTTCTGAAGCCCTACTTTGACTCTTGGAGAAATGAAGTAATGTAATTACTAATGGCTTCCCTCTGACTTTGTGCATTCTTGTAGAAGAACCAGCAAAAGAATTTACTCTGCCTGCATCTGCTACTAAGACCTCCATCTCAGGCCTAAGTCCAGATGTGGATTATGTTGTAACGATATCTGCGTACGTAGGATCAGAAGAGAGTCTGCCCATGTCCGGCCTGATCACAAGTGAGTCACCGTGTCCCTGGGTGTGTATGGGTGTAAATTAGCGCTAGACATCCAGCCAGATGCTAGTAAAGTTTGTCTGCAGCTGGTTGGTTTTGGCACGAAATGACAGCCCGTTTTTTTGGTTTGCTCTTTGATTTTGTTTTACAGTACGGCTCAGAATGAGTAACGCTCTTCAACCAAATACATGTAGTTACACTGAAATAGCAATTTTCACTTTTCACCGCGGGTTTGTTTAACGGCCGTGCTGGAGCTTTTGATCCTATCACACGATCTTCAGCAGCAGATTTGTTATGGCACTGTAAATGCTCAAATATCCACTTCTATTTTTAGCACTTTAATGACTTTTTGTTGAAAGTTGGAAACCACTGTTGACAAAAAATGTTTTACCACGAGCTCTACTGAAAATGGGTTAAACTGTTTGTTTGCAAAAAGTCTGAAAGCCTGACTGGACAGATTTTAGTAATCGGGGCAAAATCCAGCTGTTTCCAGGTGTGAAGGAATATTGGGATTTTTAGCCAAATGGATAGAAAGTAGTGAAAAAATTTCTAATCAAGTCATCAATCATGTATAAACTACTGAAAAGTTACACAATGGTTTTAGTGCTGAAATGGTTTCTCACCTGCTGTTTCCAAGGTGTGAACCTCAGTATTTAAAGCAGCTAGTGAATTTGTCAAGACAAAATAAAGTAGATGATAAGACAGTAAAGATGAAACTTTATTGTTCACAACATGGAACACAGTTTTCGGCCTCATCGCTGACGACACACATTCAAAAGCAACACGAGACTGAAGACAGACATGAGAAGCAAGACATCAACAAGACAAACATTAAAATAATAAAACACTACTGAGTTGAAGAAGATGGGTCACAAGGAAATAAAAATGTTGGGTTTTGTTACATAAAATTAGGTTTAGTTTCTCTTTGTCTTCAGCTTTTTGAATACTAGTTCTGCTTGTTTGTAAGTTGACATTGCTTAATTTGAAATGGGCACAAGCCAAAATGGATGGGAACGACCGAGTTATCTGGTAAAAGAGGCAATAAATTCAGTCTTTCAACTGCAGATATAATAAGTTGAGTAGTTGCAGCAGGTTAAATGACACCAAAGTCCAGTAAAAGCCAAAGCCCCCTTTGACATTATACTGTATATAGCAGTGACTCAGCTTTCCAGCTGTGAGTGAGGTCTTCACTCATGTCATGGCAGCAGTTTGATGAGGACACCTGCTTGGCACCACCTCATACACTGAAGGTCTGGCAAACCCTCCAAGCTTTTGAGATTCCCTGGATATCTGTCAGAAACAATGATGTCAACCTGATAATTTTGTCATTTGGGAGCTCATTTTGCAAGTTCGTTGTAGCTACGAGGATGAATTGTTGCACAAGAAGCCCTCACACAAGAGAATACATTTCATTTGTTGAAGAGAAACAGTGTTAGCTGCTGAAAAGAAATAGTTCATAACATCACAATATATGAAGATTTAGGGTTTCTCGAGGATACTAGAATTGATTGTCTGAATTGTCTTTAATTTTTATGTGACTTTATGTGATTGTATTATTGTCTTTCAGTTGAGTCCAGTGTCAGAGGACCTTCCAGGAAGCCAGACCCTTCAGATTCTGTCAGTGAGTCCTTTTGTTCATTTATTTTAGTTTGGCCAGGGGTTTCACTTCCTTCCCATTTAGCTCGCTGCCATACCTCCTCAACTTTTCCACTTTTTATTTTTGAGTTTTCTTCCTCACTGTTGGGTGATGTCCATCAGCATGAGCTCAGCGCTGAAGGGAGGCTAATATCACACAACACCCCATTGTATAGCAGTACTCAAAATTAGGCCCCATAAATCTCTGAAGTATTCGAGGATCCGTTTATTCTCCTGCCAGCTAATTATGCCAGTGTGAAGGAAGCTGCACATGCTCATTGCTGGGGTTGTCGCTGGGGCTGGAGGCTGCTGTTGGAGCTGGGGGGGGTGGGTGAGCGGAGAGGAATCCAGCCCTGAAGTGCTGAAAGATGTGGAAACCATTACAGATGTTGATTTACAAGAAGGCTGCTGCTGCTGCTGCCTCCCTGGCCCCGTTATGCAGATGATGATGAGCTTGTGTTGATCTTTCCTTCTTTACATGAGAAGAAAATCATGAGGAAACTCCCAGAAAGCAGGGCAGGGCAGAGAGTCTCTATACTGTTCACCTACACTACAGCATTTGAAGTAATTAGGTCAAAACACATGTTTGCTTTGGGCAAAACTGGCAAACCTTTGTTTTAAGTAAAGCAAAGTTGTAACAAAGAGTAGAGTAAAATATTGCATTAATAGGATTAAAAAGTCATATTAACAACTTTCATAGAATCGTGGTAACATAACATTTAGTGCTTCTTGAAAATCCTGGAACCTTTTTTTCCCAGAATGCTCTGCCAGTGCCATCGCTGATGTGGTGTTCTTGGTGGACGGCTCCTGGAGTGTGGGCAGACTGAACTTCAAACACATCCGCAACTTTATCTCTGCGGTGGCCAGCGCCTTTCAGATCGGTGAGGACAAAGCCCGAGTTGGTGTGGTTCAGTACAGCGGTGACACCCGAACCGAATTCAACCTGAACGAACACCTGACACGCCCGGCGCTGCTGCGGGCCATCGGCTCACTGCCGTACAAAGGAGGCAGCACCATGACAGGTATTAATGTCATTTATCTATTTTCACTTCAGTTTAGTATCAGTTATATTTTAGTGGGTTCAGTATTAGATTTTTTAATAACTGAAATGTATCATTTTATAAATATTAGCTTTTTCATCTGTGTGCATTTCAAAAGTGAATAATTTGACCCACATGATTTCATAATAACAAATGAATAGGTGTAAAGCTTGTATAACGTTCTCCTTACTAGCAATTAGAGTTAGGAGGTGATAATATACCCCTGCACCATGTAAGCAGCCACTTTCTGGCCATGCATCATACAAAACTTAATTCCATTTCAATTCATCTGTCTCAGAAGGGCTTGGCTTCTTTTTGACTAAAGTCAACAACAATCCTGTCGTGAAATTTCTAGGTGATGCCCTGAACTACCTCCTGACAAACACTTTCACTGAGGTGGCCGGTGCCAGGAGGGGTTTTCCCAAAATGCTGGTGATCATCACAGATGGGAAATCTGAAGATCCAGTGGAAAGTTATGCCAGGCAGCTGAGGAGCAGGGGTGTGGAGATCTTTGTCCTTGGTACGTAGCCAAAACAAGTTTATCACATTGTACATCTTACTTTCCATCACAATCTAATGTTTTTACTTGTTGTTTATATCAGCGCTGTGAGGACAAGGTTAAATTCCTGCATCGTTAACATTTCAAGCAAGTGAGAGCACGTTTCACGTATGTTTTCGCCTGGGCTTCTCTGTCAGACTTTCCACATTCTTATGGAGAAACAGAAGATTAGGGTTATTAAATCACAAAACAGCTAATCACTGTAGAACATTTCTTAGTGAGACTTAAATATGTTCCCAGTTTTTGCAGGAGCAGCTGGTAACTTGCAGGAGCAACCCTGTAAATGTCCACTTGTCCTATAAAAAGAAAATAAAAAGACTCCTCCTCAGCTCAGCCATGGAGTTTCTGGAGGTTATCCAGGCTTTAAGAGGATTTTAAAAGGTTGAGGGTGGTAGGGTTTTCTGAAACCACACAAGAGTTTGGCTTCCTTTCAGCTGAAGCTTCACATTTCTGCAGAGCAACGGTGATATGTGGTTTGTCAAGTGAAACCCTTTGAACTTTGGGCAAAATAAATACTGTATATTGTTAGTGAGTCAGAGAAGATGAGATGCTGTATGTCTCTAATGTGTTGAGATCTTCAGTAAAAACAGTAAAGCACTGATCAGCAACACTCTTACATGCAAGTCAGAGTCCTGCAGTTAAACAGTGCAAATCCACCAACATATTAAAAGTAAAATGACAAATGAGTGTAGAAGAGGCATCTCCAGTTTGGGGTATTTTCATGTTTCTGGATTAGGTAATGAGGGAAAGAAGCAAGAGAAGGACAGAAGGAAAGAAATCATTTCAGATGAAAAGTGGGGATGAATGAAAGAAACAAGAAGAGAGACAGGGAGGAAGTCGGGTTAAAGGAAGGAAACAAGGAAAAATGAAAATTTCATGGTCATTGGACACAGCTTCACATTCAATTCAGTGAAAAATTTTGTCCAAAGTTTTGACTGGTGGTGTAGTTGCATCAAAAGCTCAGTATTTCCTTCTAAAATATAGTTCTGGAAAATGGAAATACTGGAGTAAAGCACCCCGCTGTCGATCAGACTAGATCCTGTGAGGGTCTAACAGTGTCAGTGTTAGAGGAAAAGGACTGTAAAAGTCAGCACTGTTAAATCCAACCAGTTTCATATTTGCTGTCAGACTTTCCAACCAGAGTAGAATTAAAAGGTTGGGGCTTGGCGTTTTTCGTTGTTGACCGATGGTGAATCCAGCTGGAGAACCTTTAATATGCTAAGTTGGAAAACAAGTGCTTCACTTCATGGCTTTATAGATTGCTCATTTCATCCAGTGTTTATAGACCTGGAGCAAATACACACTTCACTGACTCAGTAATCCCCACACAATACCACTGACTTTACAAGGATGGCTATGAATTCAGTGGTGTCGCCTCTCAGCTCAGAACAAAGCAACATCCCCTACACTGTGCATTTGCACAACTTTGATGTTTTATTGTTTTTGGTTTATGTTAGGTTTGCACGAGGCTGATGAAGAGGAGCTGAAGCTAATGGCCTCCACCCCTTACACCAGTCACATCTATTATGTTGCCAACTTTGACTTGATCAAGAATGTGCAGAAAGAGCTCATTACCCAGGTGTGTGCTGGCGTTGACGATCAACTCACCTCACTTGTCAGCGGAGAAGAAGGTGAGCTGTAGTTTCCCATCTCTGAAGCTTGTCATACTCGATTGAGACAAACGTATGTGCACATGTATTGCTTGAGTTTCACATAAGTGTATAACTCTGATTCAGTCATCGAGCCAGCCTCTGACCTTCGAGTCCTGGAGGTAGCTTCAAAGTCCATGCGGGTGAGCTGGGACGCCTCCATCGGGGACATTTCCGGATACAAGGTGCAGATGACCCCCATGATGACTGGCAGCAGGCAGCAGGAGCTGTACCTGGTCCCAACTCAGACCTCGGTGGTGGTTAGAGACCTCACCCCAGATACAGAGTACCAGGTCAGCGTGTTTGCTCTGAAAGGCCTGATGCCCAGTGAGCCCATTATGGTCATGCAGAAGACGGAGCCAGTTAAAGTGTCAGTGGGTGAGTCCAGCATAGTGATTTTACATTTCCCCTACAGGTTCATTTGTATTATTAATACATTTTAGATACAGTAGAGGTTTCAAGTTGTAGCTACCACTGTCAAGGTGAATTACAGCATGGAAGGTCAAATTTCGACCTTCTTGTTGCTATATAACTCCAAAATAACTGTGCATTGTGCTGTTTGCTTTTCCTTGCAGAATGCTCTCTTGACGTGGATGTTCAAGCCGATGTTGTCCTTCTGGTGGACGGTTCCTACAGCATTGGTCTGGCCAACTTTGCGAAAGTAAAAGCTTTCCTGGAGGTGCTGGTGAACACTTTTGACATCGGGCCCAGTAAGGTTCAGATTAGCTTGGTCCAGTACAGCAGGGATCCCCACCCTGAGTTCTACCTGAATACTCACCATGACCTGAACGCCGTGGTCAAGGCTGTGAGGACGTTCCCATACAGAGGCGGCTCCACCAACACCGGCAAGGCCATGGCGTATGTGAGGGAGAGGATCTTCCATACTGCCAGAGGGGCTCGCACCAATGTTCCCAGGGTTACCATCCTCATCACTGATGGGAAGTCGTCTGACGCCTTCCACGAGCCGGCCACCAGGCTGAGAAATGCTGACGTTGAGATTTTCGCAGTGGGCGTTAAAGATGCTGTACGAAGTGAGCTGGAGGCCATTGCCAATACGCCTGTGGAGACCCATGTGTACACCGTGGAGGACTTTGATGCCTTCCAGAGGATTTCCAAAGAACTTACACAGTCCATCTGCCTGAGGATTGAGCAGGAACATCGCAACATCTTCCAGAGACGTAAGTAAGATTCCTTTAGTCCTCTGTGCTGATGACACTGTGCTTTGTTCTGAACAATCTGTTGTTTTTTTAGGGTTGTATTCTGCTGTTTGATTCTGGTTCTTATCAAATCTTGTTCTGGTGTTTAGTTTATTAGTAGTGTAAGAAAATAGGCCCAAGGTTGACATCCTACTTTTCACCAGATCCCAGGTGCTATTAATAGTCATTCATTATAAAGAACAAGGAATTTTGTGGTTCTCTTTGGTAAAAATGTAAGAGGAATGCTGGCAGTTTCTCACCTTTTTTCACTCATGCTGGGACCTAGTTTTAGCTGCAGGGGTGGAAATTCTGAATCATTTTGGTGGTTTGAATAGTTTCAGTCAGTTGACTTTAAAGATTTGTGGTCACAGTGTAGTTTGTGAAGGTGTAGTACCTATGTATACTATAATACCTATTATAGCTATTGTGGGCAGTGGTGGCCTACAGGTCAGAGAAGAGTCTTGTGGATGCAAGGTTGCTCATTACAACTCATTCGATAATTGTGGATGATGGTGTTGCTTCTGACTGTCATCAGTTTAGTCTGTGGCTTTAAGAAAGTTCACTCAGTAGTCGGTCTGACCAGTACTAGACCAGCACTGCTGCTGTTTCAGCAGCTTTCAGACATAATCAGAATCAGAATCAGCTTTATTGGCCAGGTGTGTCAGACACACGAGGAATTTGACTCTGGTACAGTGGCTCTCAGGACCCCAGGTGCAGGCTGTGCAAAGATGCCCCTGAGACAATCCAGAACATAACAGCGGGGTGCAAGATGCTAGCAGGCAGGGCATACATGGAACGCTATAACCAAGTGGCTGACATAGTGTACAGAAACATCTGTGCTGAGTACAGGCTGGAAGTCCCAAAGTCAAAATGGGATACACCTCCAAAGGTGGTTGAGAATGACCAAGCTAAGATCCTGTGGGACTTCAAGATACAAACTGACAAACTGGTAATGGCCAACCAACCGGACATAGTAATGGTGGACAAACAGAAGAAGGCCGTAGCGATAGATGTAGTAATCCCAAACTACATACATACTGTATATTATAAGTAATTGGGCATATCTTAGGAAAATAGCTTTTGTAAATATGCCGAGAGAAGAAAGTAGCAAAAAAGTGGATGAAAGGTTCACACTGGAAATGCAAGGAAGGTATGGCAGCACCATGAATGGCAGAGACTAAAGTGGGGAATTTATATATATATATATATATACACACACAGTCTGGATTCAGCGATCTATATGTACAATGTATATTTACAGGAATTGCACTGCATTGTCCAGACATACTGTCGTGGGTCTAGTGTTCATGACTGATGGTCTGGGGAAAGAAACTGTTCGTGTGCCTGGTTGTCTGTCACCCTGCATTGTGGAGGAGAGTGGAGCATTGTACTAACAATCGTCCATATGCACACAATTACTTTCATGATACTGTTCCAAGTGTGTGTTTTCAGCTGAACCCTCATTTTGCCTCAATGTGTTAACCACATGTCTACCTTTTGATCTTTCAAGGGCAGTGAGAGGTCCTGCCTGTGGAAATATTAGAACTGGGTCAAATAGTGGTTTGCAGAGATGGGTTTTTTTTTTGCATTTGTTTAAACTTATGTTGAAGCACGAGATGACTCAGTTATTACCACATCAGATTGTTTGGTGTGTCGTCTGTCATGTATCTATAAACAATTCCTGACTTTGAAATGTGTTCTTTGTGCTAAAATCAGCAGCCACCCCTGAACATCTGACAGTCAAGTCTAAACAAGCAAGAGAGGTTTTCTGAAAATGCTGTTTCACATACTTCAGCCTAAAAAGTAATCGCTCTGGGTTACTTTGCCTAAAGGAGCTTCCAGGTCTGCCAGCACAGAAAGCCACTGATTACATCATTCTTATATAATAATGACTTTATGTCAGCAAAGAGAAGTGTACAGGAGCCCGAATGAGCAGCATAGTCTCACCTTCCTTAAAAATAAACTCTCAAAGAGCTCCTGTAGAGGAGTGTTTCACAGCAGCTGCCCTGGTGATGCTGTGTAAATAATGGAGCTGTCAGACGGGTTGGAATTTTAACATCTTTATTCAGTGGCTACACTTCAACCCCTTCAAGCTCTGGACTCCTTCATTTTCTTTTGATCTTTTTTTAGAGATGTCTTAGTGTTGGAGTCTTTTCTACAGTGTAAAACCACACGTTAAAGGTTCGCCTCATTTGGCATCATCCTTGGTGATCTGTGTTTTTCTGCCATCTGTCTTTAATGTTCTTTGGTTAACACCCTGGGAATACAGAGTATGGCTTTAAAGATTTTTGAAATGTGAATAATAGAATGGTAAATGGTCTTAAATGAAGCACACTCAAAGCGCTTTTACAGCCCCTTTATTCACAAACTATCTCAGCAACTACCTAGAACTACCTTAGGTTTGTCACTAGAAAGACTGTTAGCCAGCGGAGTAAAGCTGTTTGTCCATTTGTTTAGCATAACTGCAAGAGAAGCTGCAGCTGTCGGTGAATAAGTTAGTCAGGGCTGGGTTGGGTCTGACATCAAGTGACAATGTGAGAAAACACCATCTTTAGCAGCTCGCTGTGCACCATCAATCCATAGCAACAGGACCCCTAAGGACTGGGGACACACATAGATATCACAACTATAAGTATCACTAGAGTAAATATCAACCTGGCAAAGCATTCTAGTGGCTTTGAATTAGAGTGGGACTTTGCACATGACAAGTACAGATAAATCTACAGGTAACTAAAATGTTTTTGGAAGGTCAACATTAGGCTAGTGTGTAGGTTAGAAAGAGACTGTGTTAAAGGACGTTCCATGTTCGTGGATGCTTAGATTCAGTGTGAATGTGACAGTATTGTTCTTTTAGACCAAAACCATTCTCCCAGATTTTCAGACCTGGTGCGTCTGCATGCGTTGGATTAAAATCGCCTTTTAACTTTGTTACCTTCCACTTTCTCCAGAGCTGGTCCAACCGAAGGCCCTCTCCTTCTCAGAGATCAGCCCCAGGAGCTTCAGGGCCTCGTGGGAGAGCGACGCAACCGATGTTGAGTCCTATTTGGTTAAGTTCAAGCCAGCTGATGAGCCCAATGGACATTATGTGTCCATGTCTGTGCCCAGGGACACCCTCACTGCCCTCCTCCCCAAACTCACCCCTCTCACCCGCTATGAAGTCAACATTTACACGCAGTATGACAAAGGGGAAAGCTTGCCTCTGCAAGGCTATGAGACCACTTTAGAAGGTATTTATATTGACTGAAGACATTTAACTTATTTAACTTTTTTTAAAGATGTTAAACGGGAGTAGTAAAATCCAAACTCATTCATATTTTTTCAGAACAAGGTCCAGTGCGCAACCTGAGGGTGTCAGAAGAGACAACAGACAGCTTCAGAGTATCATGGCAGCCAGCTCCAGGAGCTGTCACTCGCTACCGGTTGACCTACAGTCCTGTTGGGGACGAGAGCTCGAGGCTGGAGACTACCACTGTTGGCAGCGAGACCACCATTGTGCTCCAACAGCTTCAGCCTCAAACCACGTACCGCGTCACGGTCACTCCCGAATACTGGTCCGGGTCCGGAGAGCCAATGCAGACCGATGGCACCACCAAAGAAGGTGACTCTCACTTTGTTGGGTTGGTTACAGTGAAAACAGGAACCAGTAATGGAGAATAGCTTAACATGGTGCAAATTTGTCAAAATGTAAACAACATTTGGAAACATAAACAGGGCTGTATCACCATGACAACATGAAACAAAATAACAATAAAAGAATAAAACATGCACACCTTCTGTACATGTTCAGCTTGTTCTATGGCTCAGAAAACCCCATACAAGTTCTTATATTACTAAAAACCAAATTAGACCTTTAAATCATGAAGCTGTGGGATGACTAAACTATTCTAGGTCCAAGCTGGTCATGTGAAGACCACAACGTCCAGACTTCACTCTGAGATCCCCAGTCGCTCTCTTTCTCCACAGTGATTTTCTAAAGTCATCATCTGACATTTAGCATTTACTTGTATTCCAAAACTGAGTGGGAGGGCCAGAAATCCAGACATTGTTGACCCCAATGGAAAGTGAACTGCTAACCCTGCAGTGTTAGTACAGGCTGACGCTCATGGAGCTCTTCCTTAGAACTGTCCTGCCTTACAGGGAAAGGAATGAAAAACAGACAGAAGCACCGAAAACTAAATAGAAGTCGATGTGGGTCAGCATGTACTCAAAGGTGATAAACAAAGAAACAAAGTCTAGGAGATTTTTTTTCCTGAGTGAACAAACCTCTGGACTGGGCAGTGACATTATGAAATTTTCCTGATCTTTTGTGCAAACTTCCAGCAGGGTCTCTTAGCTTCAGTGATTACAGTATATATCTTCTGAAGACACTTAAGATCATTGACCCTGAGCCAAAGCGCTGAGGACACAGCTGGAAATAAACAAATCATATTTCTGTTTGCCATGGCAACAACATTTGTGTGCCATTCACCTCCTTCAGACAGTGCAGCTGCTTGTCATCTGAGGTGATTTTTTTTCTATTTGAGATGGTTTATGAAAAGAGGCAGAAACACCCAGCTGGCTCTCAGACAGATTTACGTTTCCTTCTCCCTGTATGCCTTAAGCTATTGTTCCCCTTACAATGTTTACCTCGCCATGATTTTACCTCAGAAGTATGAATTGATGCAATGCCTTAAGGGTTTTGTATGGATGGCCCTTTCGCTTGCTGTTTTTCCAGCAAATCTGGTGTTGGGACAGAAGAACATAACACACAATTAAATGGGAGTCACTCAACTCCAGTTCTTTTCCATTTCTGCTGACTAGTATTGCATAGGGAAAAAGGTGCATTTAATTCAAATCCATGACTCAGTTTTGGGTCCAGACAGCTGTCACCGGAACATACCCATTGTCGGAAAAAACCTGCACACAGGCAGAGAAGACAAAAAACATTTCACAGTATAAATCAGCAGTAGGCGTTAACAGCAGGACACATTAGTCAGTGCTTTAGTTTAATAATTGTTTTTCAAAGGGGAACTGTGGGAACATGGCCTATGTAACTTTCATAGTCTCTTACAATTGTTCACACTCTTGGTCGCTGCCAGTACAAACACGGTTTTCTACTGTGTAGGTCCACAGAAGACACTGGGAGCTCAGTGTCTTGGTCAAAGAGAATGTTTCTCACCCAGATTTGATCTAGTCAAGGACACAGTGGATGATTATTAGGCCACAAGTTTCCTTATGTGCCCTGATGACATTCTATCTTATACAACACATAGCCCCGGTTTGTGCTTCCCAAGGAGTCACAGAGCTAAGAATTCAGCTTTTTCTGAAAAATAAACACTATGCCTGGTTGTCTCTGACAAACCCAGAGGGTCAGTCAACACTTAATTAATAATAGTATAAAGGTGTTTCCAGATTACACAAAGTTTTTAATGTTATGTGGCTGAAACAATCCCCAGTATATACTGTACATTCTTAACCCGTTTTCCAAGTTGCTGCTCTCTCAATCTGTTTTTATTGGCCAAGTGGGAGAGTGTACAACGAACGTGTCACTTTGCTTTAGTTGGTTATTTTATAAGCAAATTTAAAATAACAGAATGTATCATAAATGCAGATCAATATAAACAGTTGACCCTGAGCTGTTTTTCTGACAGAAACAAGCAGTTTGGTCAGTTATTCCAAATCCTAGAAGCCACAATGGTGCAAATAAAGACTCTGTGCAGGGTCTTGTATAGAACCCACACACACAGAAATTAAAAATTAAAATGTCTTTATCTTTCTCTGCCCTTGTTTCCCTCCTCTTCAGGCAGGGGTTCCCCCCGTGACCTGAGAGTTTTTGACCAGACCGTGTCCTCCATGAGGGTCTCATGGGAGCCAGCGCCGGGACATGTGCTCCACTACCGCGTGGCGTACAGTCCCTCTGCTGGTGGCCCCAGGAAGGAAGTGTCAGTAAAGGGTGACAGCACAGCAACTCTCCTCAAGAACCTGCAGCCGGACACCGAGTATGACATCTTCGTCAGCGCGCGATACTCCTCAGGCCTGGGTGACGCACTGGAGGGACAAGGCGCCACTCTAGAAGGTAAGCCTGTTACACCTCTGTCATATGAATACAATTTTGGTTATAGTGGCCATAAAACAAGCAGACGGTCACAGATTCTTGGGTTATAAAGTTGCCAGTGAACAGACACAGAGCATCATTCTGTTTGAGTTGTGTTTGTATCCATATGATTACAGTAAGTCTGGTATTCACTCTGCTTTTATCTATGGTTTGATCTTTACCAACTCTGGAGAAGAAGATCTGTCTCTTTAGTCAAGAGTCAAGTCAAGATTTTCTTTTGCCATTTATGCATAAACAGACGGTCTAGGCATATAGGAATTCTTGTGTAGTTCTCCTTTGGAGTCAGGTAAGGAGTCACAAGCCAGAAAGAACATTTAGTTTTAAAATAAAAAAAGTTACATAAAGGCAACAAAGTATTAAAAACCACAATACACTAAAATAGGGTAATAGTATTTTCCACAGTGAACTTCAAACATTTCACTTATCAAGTCACATGGTGGAGTTGGATATGTCGTTACGCTTGGTGAGGTAGTGAGGGGTTATAACATACTAAAACACAGTTTGTATTCAGGCCTGTTTCCATTGTTTGGTAGAGAATGTCCTGCTATTACTCAGGTCCCCCAAGAGAACACTGTTGATGAGATGGTCTCACAAAAATACCTTGTGGAACATTTCTGTATTATTATTATTCTGTAAGGGGTTATTGCACATATATTCTCACATTTCTCACATTTTCATATTTGCCATGAGTTTTACTGTGGCAGGGAAAAAGCTGTTGTAAAGTCTAGTTCTGTGTGTGATGGTACTGTCTGCCCTACTGTGCCTGAGGCTGTAGGTGCAGTTTTTGTGTCTGAGCAGAGAGTGAGCTGGGTCGGCGTGGATCCCTTTTCCACCCTTTTACGACAGCGCTGTGTGTACAGTGTGTCCATAGCAGGCAGTTCAGTCCCAGTGATCCTCTCTGCAGTCTTTATGACCCTTTGAAGAGCCTTCCTCTCTGCCTGTGTGGTGTTACCATACCAGACTGTGATGCCAGTAGTGAGGATGCTCTCTACCAGTCCTCTATAAGCCTGAGTGAGGGGGCGATGGTTCAGACCAGCTTTTCTGAGCCGCCTGATGAAGTATAGCCACTACTGGGCTTTCTTCACTGTAGCCCCTAAATGCTGCACTAATCTCTGTGTCTGTCTGCTGTTTGGATGGGTTTATCAGAGCGGGTTTGATTAAAACAGCTGCTGCTGCAAACAGTGAGATTATACTACAACAGTAAATGTTTTGCAAAGCCTGAGCTACAAGAGGCTGAGAAGCTGTGCAGAGCTTCTACTCCAGGGGTTCACTGGTTGTCATTTTCACACTCTGATCAACAAATTCACTTTCTACAATCATTTTATTTCCTGTTGATTAAAGATGAATTTTTCCCTTGGTTTCTATTTTAGTTAACATACAAATCCACATAAAGTGCAGGTATATGTCCTGAAAAACACAAATGCATAGCAGCTCTTGATGATGATCCATTATGAGATGTACAACGGACTTTTAGTAATGCATTGTTTATAAGAGATAAGTAAAAAAGAAACACACAGACATTGAGGTATGTTCATATCTAAAGTAGAAGTAAAATAAACAGTCGAACTATCTAAAGCTTGACATGTTTCTGGTTTAGCTCTGGCACTGAGCCGGGATCTCCTGAGCTGCCCAGATTAAACAGTTATGCTCCATTTTTATGACTGTGTGGCTCAACAACCACAGCTAATGTCTGAGGTTTTACTTTAGTTGCTGTGACTAAACCCTGGAAGATGACCAAATCATCAGAAGGGCCTTTAAAACAAACTCTGCAAACACTGTGTTTAAACATGGCTTATGTTTGCTCCAGCGCAAAATGTTAGAAGTGATCTTACTGTCAGTACCCAGCGAGGCTTCAAAGGTCAGGCTTGTTGTTACTGGAGAGTAATATAAACTTTCAGAACAAGAGTGGAGAGAGATGGTGAGAAGGAAGAGGAGAGGACCAAACCATAAGGCTTTTGTGTAGGTTTACTCGTGGTGTTGATGAGAAAGAGAAATACATTTTTGTGCCCCCAAGGTCTCATTTTCATAGTTGTGTACGTCATTTTTATCAGTTATGAAAACAAGTTAACTGCTGAGCTCAAGGCATTAAGCTTAAACTGATCTCAGCCCATAGATTACAACAATGGGGCTTAGATCATCTTAGCCTTAAGATACATTTGGGATTCTGGGATGCAGTACAGTTGCTACAACAGAGATCAACAGATCAGGGACATAATGTTCATAAGTTCACACAGTTTGAAAACAAACTCATTTGAAAGGAAGCATGTGAGAGCACCCAAAATGCTTGTACTAATTCTTCTTTGCATCGAAAAACTGCACATGCGACTTAAATACAGTTGGTCCAAGTTAAACCAAGGGGTCATTGTGCAAAACCTTGGTCTGCATCTAGGTCTCCAGCCTCCATGAGGCAGTGGTAGAGGGGAGAGGGGAGAAGGGAGGGCCTGCAGCCCTCAGCCAAATTTGCACAAATGATATTTTGAAATTGAGCGCCTCCCAACAGGAAGTTGGATCAACCAGTTGGTGTGCAGGACGCATAACTCTACACAACATGCAGTTGAGATTTGGCAGGTGTGTGTGTTTAAACCCTTCTGCTTACACCTGGTTATAAAAAGTATGAATTGGCCTTTAGACGGCGTCTCCACCACCATCATCAAAACACCACATGAAGGAATATTTGTTGGAAGAACGGTGTTCATCCCTCCAGGAGGGCGCAGAGACATGGAGAGTCAGTGCCAAGGTGGAGCTGTTTGGTGGCACGTGGTGGCCCAGCTCCTCACTGGGACTCTGTGTTGGTGCTTTTCTTTCATTGGTCCGGCGTCTGTAGCCCTTTAAGCCACATGCAATAACAGTAGCAATGGACACAGCAGCCAGCCACACAGGCTAAGAGTTAAAGATGAGACACAGCAAGACTGGACAGGAATGTCACCCAGCTGAGAGCAGGGCTGGAAGGTTAGGCGGAGCAGGGGTGACCGACTCATTCCTGTCTGTCGTCTTTCTGGTTATGGACCATTCTCCGTGTGTCTTTGTTTCATGCTGTCACTGCATTTCCAATTTTATCTCCCTCTTCTGTTTTTCTTTTTCTCTTCATATTAGTTTTATTCTATCTCCATCTGTGTCTTGCTCTCAGTTCCTTTCTATTTTCCCTCTCTCTCTTTCATTTTGGGCTTGTCTGGAATTTGATAGTCTGTGTGTTTGGGCCTGCACAGCCTAGACGCTTCCTTGGTCACAGTACCATCTCTGTTTGATGCTTCAGATGCGAACTAGCGTAGCGCAGTGAATTGGTTTTGTCTGGTTCAGGTTGAGGACGCTTGAAGTGCATCGTTAAGGCCTCCAGACATCCCTGGTTTTGGCTGACATTAGAGGCAGTTGGCAGGAGCGTCCTCACTACCTCTGTCATTCACTTAGTCTCTTTACATGCAGGACTAAACCTGCAGTGGCAAAGTCAGCAGCACTGATACTATGCTGCCATTAAAACCAGTGAGCTCACTCTTTCTTATTGTAAAAACATTTTACTGTAAAAGCTCATGTTAAGCAAGACATTTCCGTTTACGACCAAATGGTAGCTAAAATGGAAAACTCTTCTTCATGCCAAGATCAGAAGGTTACGACGTTTTCTGTAACATATCAAATCTAATTCTTTGCCCAAACCAATGTATAAATGCTACAGAGACTGTTTTCATTCACTGCTAATTTGTCCAAACAATGGCACCAGTGGATGCCCTGGTAAAGTCAGATGGCATTTGTATGAATGTAGTTCATCTCACTCAGTTGTTCCAAAGCTGATATATAAAGGAGCTGCAGCTGCTTTTGATTTTTTTTTCACTTTTCACCAAGGTCTTCACTTTTAACACTCATTTTGAAGAACGTCCAAAAAGCTGACATTAACCAGGGCTTCCTGACTGTGGGGCCAGTGTAGTGTGCCGTGGCAGCCTTTCAAAACTGTAAGAGAAGGGAACATTTAAGGAATCTCAGAGGTGAAACATGCTGTGAGATTGATAACTGTGCATTTTTAGAATTATATAATGCATTTTGAACAGCTTCCACAGGCCTCTGAAATCAAAAAACGGTTATAAAAATGTGAGTAAATTGAAAATGTGTTGAATAGGAGGTTGTCAAAGGTGATCCATACAAGGGCCATCCAGACAATTTTTGGTTCCAGTTTTGAGCTCTTGTCTTTTATGTTGTTTTGCCAGGGCTCCGTTGGAAAAGAAGTTGCAAACCTCAATGTGACTTAAAATAAAAGTTTAATAACTTTTGCTTAAAGTGTCCATTAAAACCCCTAAAAACATGGCTGTCAATCTTTCACCCAGGAGGATTCATCTAGATTCTTTAAAAGCTGGCAGGCAGTTTGTTCTTTGCAGTGTTTCCAGGCCTCTTCAGGGGATGTTCAGGGGATGCAGGTGTTAAGGTGGAGTTTGGATTAATTACCCAAACATATGACAAGGCTACAGGTTTTGGCTACAGGACACTTAATACTCCTGTGGTGTGCTTGGCTGTCAATATACTTAATGTGTGTTTAGTTCCCAGTTTCTAATTACGATGAAAGGATCTATTTTGGCTGAAATGAACAGCTCTCCAGTTTTCACATGAAGGGAAACCAGGGAAAAGGAGAACATGAGTGCTGTGGGGTGCCGCTTGAACTGGCTGCAAACAAATACCTCGCTGTGATCTTGCTATGTATTGATAGAGGTTTTGGAAGCACCGATCAAGAGAATGTGCCAAAATACAGCACTTAAGAAGTGTTTCCTCCTTTTTTTTCATCAAAGCCTCGGATAGAAGGTTTTTTACATCAATACATTAAATCTTCTGTTAGATGGAGTGAACAGACATAGGCTTGCTTTTATTCAAAGCACAAACAAATGGATTCATTTAGAGCAAGGGCCCTCGTTGGAGCTGGACCCCTCAGCGATGTTTGGGTACGTTTACATTTACATTCCCATTTGAATTGAGATTCTGATCTTTGCTTCCAGATTTTATCAAGTTTTGAGGCTGCAGTGCTTCATACTTTGTCTTGGTAAAAGGACAAAGGCTCTGCTGAATCTAGTGTGCTTCACATGTTTTCACTTTACAGGGTGTCCTAAATTTGGCTGACTCTGTGGCATTATGATGACTGTGGACATTAAAACTGCATGAACGCTTTGTCAGCAGGTTCAGAATTTCACCACAGAAAACAGGAATGCACTGACCCGAGGTGTTCATGATCCCTGAACTCTGTATCTGCTGAGTGATACCAGTGATCTGTATGGCTCACTGTGTGGACACAGCTCTCTGTCAGGAAGCGGGTTTCAATAGAGCTAACAGTCACTTTGTTGTGTTTGCTTGTTTGTGTTACTCTGCTGTAGCATTTGAGCCACTTGATCCCTGGGTTACCTGTATGAAAACTACAGAGACTCTGCAGTTCGCGGGCTTTAACCGGCTGACAGTAGAGGGAACATGTCAAGTAGCCAAGTTAATATACAAAGTAAGAGACTTTCCACTGTGACTGTAAGGTTTCTTCAGCAGGGAGACCCAGATACAGTCTCCTCCTCTAGCTTTGGGTCAGACAGCATGAGAGACTTCTCAAGTCTCAAGTTGCCATATAGCATAAAAAGGTTCAATTGGCTTCACTTTGCTCTCAAAAGTTATAAACATGTTAAGCAGTTTTGTGACAAATGGCTTTGGATACAAGAGGATGAAGCCAGAAAACTTTTCCAGCATGAAAAAAAAAACCAAACCAATCAGTAATACAGTAATATGTACAAGTAGATGGATAGGACATGTACTTATTTTACTAATACTTTTCATCTTAAGATATTATTCTTCCCAAGAAATATGATTTTAAGAATACCTTGAATTTTAGGTTAGCTGCCATTGATACATTTATGTAGTTCCATATTTGTTTACAGGACTGACAGACAGACTGAGGCATGAAGGGCAGTGGAAATATCCCAAAAATGCATTACATTTTCTGTGGTTTTGTTCAGCTTTGATTTGTAATGGACTGTGGAAAAACAGGTTTGAGAGCATTTCAGGCAGCGTCTGTGTAACGCCACATATTCCGATCTCCATCTGATGGCTGTCTGTGGCTCCAGACTCGGCTTCCAGCTGGGACTGTTCCTTAAAGCAGATAGAAAATGGCAGCAGCCGTGGAGAGCCCGCAGCTCCCTGTTAATGGCTACAGTGCTGTGGCGAAGGCTGAGTGACAGTGAGCGTACATGTGAAAGCAAACTGATAGTTACTGTATATGCATCTATAAAGTAAAGTTCAATAAACACAGGGTTGGAAATTTAGTCTTATAGTCACATTAACTTTGCTTTTTTTTTCTTAAGTCAGAAATGCCTCAGCCTTTCAAATTAAAAGCCTTGTTACAGTTTATCTGCAACTTTCAGAGCATTTTTTTTTCACATATTATTACCAGTGAATGCTGAACAGAGCAGCTGAGAAAACTGATGTCATGATATGCCTGTCAAAATGTATTAAACGTATTCATTAATAGCATTTGTCTTAACACACCCTTCAGTCTGGCCACATGTTTGGCATATTTAAAAAGATGATCAAAATTTCCGGTATTAGTTGGCAGGAACAAAAAAAGGCTCTGAACGACATCCAGGTTTATTTCACTTTATTACGTTTTTTTTTCTATTTGGTTTTCACTGCAGAAAGGCATGCACACATTTTGATTCTCTGGCCTTTGTCCATATGCAGAGAAATTTTTAAATGAAATGTCCTGATTTTGGTTGTTTTGAATTCAGACCAAAACCAATTTTTACAACTACAAATGTTTAGTTTCCTTTTTAGATTTAATTTCTCCAAAGATCTGCACCCACTGGCAAAAGCTACACTGTGATTTATTTCATGATAGTTTGAGTTCATGTCTTATCACGTGGGAAAAACTTGGCTTCTCAGTCTTTCCAGCGCCTCCTCTGTAGACGCTGTCACCCCCTTCGCCTCTCCCACCATTCAGATACTCCCATGGTCTCCTGTGTCTATACGGAAAAGTGAAGAAATATCTGCTTGCAGCAACATGAGCCACTGCGTTGGTGGGAATTAGATTTGGTCTCGGTCAGTTAAACAAATCTGAGTTTTGGCTTCTGTGTGCTTCAGCAGTCAGAAAGTTGAGGTCCTGAAACTTCTGAAAATGCTTTAATACAGTCACCCTGTGTGTATGTTTGTTTATATGTTCTTGATTTACCATTTGTGTACGAACCAGTTTCAGAGTAAGCTCATGTTTGTAAAATGCCATTTATTCACTCCATCACTGCAGCTGTTGTTGAGTTTAGGATTAATGTTGATGGGTTAAAGTAGGTTAGAGTAAGGGTTAACTCTCACAAGCAACAAGAGTTTTCATGGTATGTAAAGGGTTTTTGGTAGTAACAACAGTTAAATAAATAAATTGAAACGTTTCATCGTCTAGAGTGGTAGAGAAAACCCATGGAGTGTCTGAAATCAAAATCAGTTAATTTCATATGTCTCTGCCAATTAAATGTAATTTCATCCAGATGATGCCACAAGATCAGTATGTTCGGCTGCTCCCCAGTTTTTCGGGGGGTCACCACAGTCGATTCCAACAATCTGCCAATGTTTTGAAAGGTTAACAGGTTTTTGGGGTCAAAGGCCAGAGGGTGTCTGTACAGATTGTGAAGCCTGGGGCAAATGTGTCATTTTTATATGGGGCCATATAAGTAAATTTGACTTGACCTTACTTGAAATACATGTAGTGCAGTAGTTGTCTCTGAAATTTAGTGTAGTCAAAGTATGAAGTAGCAGAAAACGTAAATACTCAAGTACAAGTACCTCTAAATGTGAAGTAGCTACAATACGTGAGTAAATGTACTTAGTTCCTTTTGGCCACTGATAATCCTCCTGTACATTTCTGTGCACTATAGCGTTTATTAAACCCACAATAACTGTCCACACTCGTTGTGTTTAGATGTGGGCCCTCCTAGAGACCTGGTCACCAGCGATGTGACCGACACCAGCTTCGCCGTGTCATGGACACCAGCGCCTGGGAACGTGAGGATGTACCGGCTCCAGTGGAAGTCACCGTTTTCTGGGGAAGCTGGAGATAAGTCGTTGCCCGGCGACGTTACCAGCACCGTGCTGGAAGCGCTAACCCCGGAGACACTTTACCGAGTTTCTGTGGTTGCCGTCTATGGTGACACAATCAGCGACCCGCTAACCGGACAGGAAACCACCGATGGTGAGAACGGAGACTGGCTTTCCAGCTAATTCTGACATTAAACGTACGCTCTTTGGTGGAGCTGGCAGGATTGAAATATCATTCCGAGTAAAAGAGAAGCCATACTGTTAAAATTTAAGCTAGTTAAGAATCATTGAACAATTTGCAAGAAAAATAAGTAGCTGTAGCTAACGCTTAGCTTTTAGCTAACGTTTAGCTTTTAGCTAACGTTTAGCTTTTAGCGAACGTTTAGCTTTCAGCTAACGCTTAGCTTTTTGTTAACGTAACCTTCACGCCCGAGGGTCACAGAGGGTGGCCGTAAGCTATTAAACTGGACAGCTCCACAGAGAGGGACCCGACCAGTGACCGACCACAGTATATTATGTTAAACTACTTTATGTTTCATGACAGTGGTTTTTGTGATGGTGAGCGAATAGCTTGGCCGACCAAAGCTGCTCTGTTTCTAACAACAACTAGCATCCACCCAGCAGGGAAGCTAAACACTGAGAGGGCTAAAGCTAGGAGAGAGGCTAGTTTATACAGATGCTAATAATACTTTTTAAAAGCACTCTGAGGAATCTGTAAATCTTTTCTTAAGCAAATATTAAATTGTCTAACTCTAATAAGATACAGTGTAAAATTGGCAGAATTTCAGTTAAATTAAATTAAAAAAAAAAGAGTAAACCAGGCTTTGCTATGTTTTAGTTGGTGCCAAAAAGGTATTCAGGCTCATTATACAGATTGTGTAACCAGCACTTTACCACCAGCTTGTCTCAGTTGGGATTGATGCTCTAGTTTTTCAAATCTAAAAAAGATTCTAGTTAGATTATTTTCTGTCTCAGACACAGGCCTACCTTTGAGAAAACAAACCCCTCCTGTGTATCCATATTTACTCAAAGCAATGAATATACAGTATACAGGAAAGAGCAGCTGTATTGAACCACCTGGAGGTTAAAATACATTCTTGATCAAGGGTGCAGCGACTGGTTGCTCTGTGAGCCGCTCTGCAGCAGTCAGGAGGTTTAAAAGTCACTGACCGGGTCACAAACCCATTTCTTTAACCATCACAGGGAAAGGTTGAAAGTTTTGGCTTTGTTCTCAGTGTTGGACATTTGGTAGAATATCTTTTGATTACAAGGAAATGTGCCATATGAATAGAAGCCAAAATAGAATTAGTACTTCATTTTATCAGAAAAACAAAGTATGAGCTTGCATAATCATACAAAGGTTTTCTGCTTTCCAGCCAATGGTCCAAACATATAAAGTAGGACTTTTGTTTTGGATTTTTCCCAAACTGGGATGTGCAGTTGTCGTGCACTTAGAAATAACACAACTCATGGCTGAGGGGAGTACTGGTACAACGTGTGCGTCCTGTTGATGCACTGTGAACTGCAGGCTGACATATTTCACCAGACACCAGACAAACTCTAAATGTCAACACATTGCTCAGTCAGTATGCACACAGAGGAAATCAAATGGTCCACAGGCCACCCACAACAGAGCAACCTGTAGGTAAACTAACACACACTGCCCGACCACTTTATTAGGTACACCTGTACAATTGTCTGCACTTCAGTGCAGCATGTCTGCCTTAACATCTGTGTTTATGAAGCTCAAAATGTTTCATTTTTTGGTGAAACTGTCATAAATGTATACATTCAACTAGTTTATGTTTTTTTTGTTGCATTGAAGCGCATTCAAATGCACAGGTGTACCTAATAAAGTGGCCTGGCCATGTATCTTCCAGCTAGTCCATCTCCAGCTGTGCAGTTTTATTCAAACCTATCAACATGCTGCAAAGTTGGATGTCTTGATTCGTTTTGTCGGTAAAGTATTTGAAAAAACTTTCATTGGGGTCATTAAATATTATTCCCTTGCAAAGATTTTTATATACTTTACAGAGTCATTGGAATAAGTTGATTTAAATTTATAGGCTTTGGATTTTTTGTGGGAAAAGGATGTGGTTAGCATTTTGATCAAATCTGGGTAAAAGCCTAATTCATAACCAGTTTTGGCATGAACCTGAATATTACTCAACATTTATATGAGCACATCCAGTTTACTGAAGGATTATAAAGGGAAACCACAGTGGGCCTGAAAATAAGCCTGGATGGTTGTTTGAAGAGTTGCTATAAAAATAAATAGTTCCTGGCTTTTGAGTGGGCATCGGGAGCAGAGGGGAATGTGTGGAATAATGCACATACAGATAAAATCTGACCAAGAATGGTCTGTACAGCAACGTGAAGGAGCAAGTGACGGTTACAGAGGATGAGATAGTAGAAGGAACAGCACAGTTCATAGGTAGATTGGACAGAACAAGTCTTGGACACAAGCCTTGCTTCATTTTCAGATATTTGTTAAAATAAACCTGTTTATTTGAAGATACTAATTGTTGGGGGAAAATAAAAATGGAAGAGTTTATGTCGGTCAGTCCAGGGTTTCTGCACACTTGTCTTAGATGAACACTAAACTACAGTGTCTGCATCCTGCTAACTTGCATGTGTTATTTGTGTTAAGCCTCCACTGCTGGTAAAAGACTGACTGTGTCAGATGAGACCGAGCGAACCATGAAAGTAAAGTGGACGCCGGCGCCAGGCAGAGTGGTCAACTACCGTCTGAAGTATGTCCCAAGAAATGGAGGCAAAGAAGTGGCTCTGAAGATCCCTGGCACGGTGACTTCCACCGTCATGAAGCGCCTGCAGCCCCTGACCACTTATAACATCACCGTTCACCCCATTTACAAGCACGGGGAAGGAAAAGCAAGGCAAGGAGTAGGAACGACACGTACGTTGGTCCATGATTCAACCCTCTGAGAAACAGTACACTGCAGAAACATGTCCATTTTAACCAAGACGTTTAAACCTCATTCTTCACTTTACCATTGATGGAAGAAGTAAAACAAATATGCTTCTGAGGTGATTTCAGCTTTTTCTGGATCCCATCAGATCACAAGCTGTTCTCTACATGTAGTTAGAAGCAGTTTTGAGTAGTGACATTAGCCTAGTTTAGCTCTGCTGGATGTCAGCGGCATCGGGTAGCCCTTCACCTCCAACTAGGGAAGTAGTGGGTAGTTCTCTCTTTTTCATTGATGACCATTTATTGCCACAGAATCACTGGGTTCAGAATTAACTGTCAATATAATAATGCCCTTAAACCTCCATTACTTTATGTTGCTCCCACTGTGTATAAATATACATATTCCTGATACATATCATGTTTTTAACAGAGGATTTTTAATCTTTGGTCAACATGTACAAAGTATTTCAAGTGTATTTCTCTAATTTTGAAAGTCCCAGGTGATTGGTGTCACAGACGACCAGTGATCCTGACCAAGGCTAATTAACAGTTCACCAGCACGACTTTCTCTGCCTCTGAATTAAGTAGAATTGTTAAAATTCTCTCCAATAGCATCTGTTTAAAGCTAGGATAAATATGTTTTGACCTCCATCTCAAAAGGCTTCCCAAATGTTGAGTAAAATGTCAGTACTGTTAAAATCGCCTTATTTAACAGCCTTGTCACTTGTATTCAGAGAAATGCTATCGAAGGTTGGGCTGCATTGAAAAGAGATGGGATTGTGTCATCCAAGTTGCAGATTTTTTTTCCTGCACTTTTCCATCAAAAATGGAAGTTTAAACGACTTGTTAAGATGAATATTTCTCACGCTACAGGTGCTGCTGCGCTGCAGAGAAGCAGCATCGCACTAAAATCACCATTAAACACACGCTCAATCACACGCTAGCATTACTAACGCACAGCATGACACTGGGCTTTTTAACGAATGACACAGAGTTCAAGGAATTGTATTATGGACTAATGAGAACCTGGCTTGAATGTAGTGTGGCTGATCTTTAAAACCTTTGCCCAGAGTTTGGAGTTATGTTGAAGTTTCTTTTGCGCAAGTGTGTCATGAAGTTCTTGTTGCGTTCTCCTATTTCAGTGTCACTCTTCAAGGCTCCCAGGAACCTCCACACTTCAGAGCCAACCAAGAACAGTTTCAGGGTCTCCTGGGATGCGGCACCGGGAGATGTTAAGGGCTACAAAGTGACCTTTCACCCTGCTGGAGAGGATGTTGACCTAGAGCAGTTACTTGTTGGACCCTATGATAACACAGTTGTTCTAGAGGAACTCAGGTATGCTTAAGTTATTTAAATATTCAGGTGACTTTTATGTGTTAATCATAAAGTTTAATGCCACATAAGACTGCGTGAAGTTGCAGATTTATTTTCTGTTGATCTTATGATGAATTGTTACAGCTCAAAGTGTCAAACTGTGGATGTTTAACTTTGGCCTGAAGGTGAAGAAAAAATTCTTATTTGTAAGAGATCCAGTAAAAGCTTATTTATTTTACAACTGTGGACATCTCACTGACACTCCAGCTTTCTAATAGAGAATCTGGAATATTGATACAGGTTTATGTCCTTTTCCTCTCAGGGCAGGAACAAAGTACTCAGTGGCTGTGTTTGGGATGTTTGATGGAGGGGAGAGTTTGCCTTTGGCAGGAGAAGAGAAAACGACCCTCTCTGATGCTCCTGAGCTGCCTCCTCTTGACCCTTCTGGTAAAGGCTGATAACTCTGTCACACCACAACCCACACTCTGCTGTCAGCCCTAAAGAGAAGGCCTGCAGAGCAGACTCACTCCGATCCAGGTCCCTTCAGAACAGGAGGGGTCTGACTTTGACGAGCCCAGATTAGAGCCAGACTGTTTTTAAACTAAGTTCATATCGCTGTCGTGTTGGAATCACAGACCAACATTTAGTGCAGATGATTCTAATTAGTACAAATGATTTTGAGGTGGGTGGCTTGTGCTTGCTCAGCTCCCTCATGTCTCATTTGGTGTGTGATCTGGAGTAAAATGACACGCTGTTTAACAAAGATCTGCTGAAGTGCAGGACTAATATTTATGGGCATGTTCCCTGACCACCTTGCATGATAGAATTTGCTGGTGTGTGAGCAGCCACCCCACAGTGTGCTGACCTTTAATATATATCTCTCCTAGATGAGTTACTATTGAGCTCAATATCTGCTGCCCAAATGTATTTTTTTCATACAAAAGAGATATTTAGCTTTTTTCCTGTTGCCTGATGTGTGGAGAAGGGCTCTGCTCACAATTACAGAGTTTTTTATGACCCAGAGTGTTATCTGCTGCCAGGATGTATGCAGCTGTTCCAATA